ACTTAAGTAAGGTATATATAGTAGTAAATTAACGCGTTATCTATAATTAGAATACTATTTTCTTCTACTTACGATAATATCTCTAATACTATCTAGTTAATAAATACTTCCTTTATAATTCTACTTTAGATAATTAGCGCGCCTAGTAAATAGCTATTTATAGTATATACTAGATAAACCGAGTACTTCTCTAACTACTTTATAGACGCCTTAGTATCTATTAGATAATTAACTCTTAACTATAAATACTTCTACTAACTAGTCTATATATTACTCGCCGACTTATCGATAAATATAAGTTTATCGTACTACTAATCTAACCTCTTTATAAGCTATATATTCCTTAGAATTATATTCTATTTACTAGTAATCTACTAAGCTATCTTATAACTAAATCTATATTAAAATAATACGTTCTAAATCGTTCTATTACTTACTACTACGCTATAGTCTTTATAATTAAATAGATACTACGCTACCTTATTTAAATAGATATTAGAATTAGCTATAATATACTTAAAAAGAAAGCGTTTATAGTCGGTATTTAAGAGGTACTTCCGGCTTATCTTAATACTCTAAGGTACGAATAGTATACTAAATAGCTCGAAGAATAACTATATCTTATTAATAGTAGAATAAAATAATCTATAGCGCCTTACTAGCGCTTAGTTTAATAACTCGATAGTATTAAAAGCTAACTATAGTTTATAGCAGATTTCTGCGTCTATACGCGTACCTCGAGATATCTAAGAGGTAGTTAAATAACGCGATAACTATCTATAAATAGTACTAAATTACGAATCTCGAATAGTAATACCTCGGAATTAGAAGACCTACGACGTAAACACGACAATAGTAACTATAGGACGAGAAAGACGAGTTTGTATGCTAATTACTATGCAGCGCGTCGCGACTACCCCACGCCGAGTGGACGAACTATTTTTGCTAGCGTTCTAACCTGATTCGACCTGACTCACCTGCCCCAGAAAGCCCGGATCACCATTAGAAGCTGCACTTACATACATGCAGAATGCACCTGCGGAGCAAGTGAGAAGTAGGAAGGCACTGGGATGGATTTCCTGCTCATGGTCTGGCCACTTGCCTTTCTTTGCGAGTCAACAAGCTGACGTTGTATTCTCCGTAACACACCTCAAGCCTTTGCGTTGCGGAGGCGAAATTTAAGCGGCACTGTGCACGGCAAGTGTCGCACGGTGGATAATTCGGGAGTGCCAGCGCTGCGTGACCTCTTTGCTGTGATTTCAGGGTGTCTACCTTGAGTCAGACCATGTTGGTATTGTGGTACGAGTTGAGCGAGTACGAGACCGAAGAGCGGAGAGGACTGTCGAAGTTGGAGCAGGGTAAGACTTTATCCGCAGGCATTGGCCATTCGTCTGCTGAACATGGACTTGGCGTTCAAGCCTCCGTGGCAGTGGCTCCGAACAGAACGGAAATGCCGAGACTAAGGTACAGTTGATTAGAACAAGATTCTCCTAACTCCCACATCGGACCTAGGAAGCGACTTTCGAATATTCGGGCGCCAGTTAACAGCAAGGAAGGTCCGGACTTGACTTGCCGGGCAGCTTGTGACGTTAGATACAAGCAAGTTCTTTCGATGTCGAGAACCATTTAGCTGAGTGCATAACAATAGCCGAAGTCTCAGGATTCTTTGGCTTTCACTACTCACGCGAGGGCTTTTCATAACTCCACGCTGTGCACCAAGATATCGTGCAAGCTTACAAATGTTGAGAACTCTACAAGCATTTGCAAGCCTTGGTTGCCACGAATGAAATGGATCGCTGTCTAGGCCACTGACGCCGTGAGCGGGGACGGATGAACTCTTGGCACCCTTCTGGTACCTTTATGGCAATGCAGTTGTTTGTAAGCCACGAGAACCTGGACTTAGAGTCTTGATGTCGTCTCAAAGGCCGGTGCTTGGGGAGCATATAAGAGCAATGGCATCGTCCTACCACTTCGCTGCCGCATCTATTGACAGTCCCACGAGGCCCTCCAGCACACCTTCGATCTATCAGGCTTTTGCTTCGATTTCATTCCCAAGATCTCGGGAGGAACATGTCCCAAATTCGAGTAGCAATCGTCGGCGCCTCAGGTGAGGCTGGCCGATCGATTGTGAGCGGATTGCTCGAACAGAAAACGACTTTCGTAAGTTGTTCGATCGTCTCCATCATTCGTGTTAGATAACCATGATAGGACATCTCTGTATTTGTACGCCCAGGTACCGAAGATAAGCCCATCTACGCGACCTACAAAGATCAAGGCATCTCCATAGTGTCCTACATCCCTGGCGATATTGAGCAGTTGGGATCAAAGCTGAGAAATATCGATGTCTTGATATCGGCCGTAACCGCCACAGCGTACGACGAACAAATACCTTTCATTGTTGCTGCCAAAAAGGCCGGCGTAAAGAGATTCTTGCCATCAGCGTACTCTACTGTACAGCCTCCAGAAGGCGTCAGCGCTCTTCGCAATCATGTACGTCTGTTTCCGGAGTCCATTTGGAGGTGTTCTAACAAGGGTGCGAATAGCGACAACGCATCTTGAACGAAGTTCTCAGGAACTACTTGCCGTATACCTATGTCGAGTTCGGCTGGTGGTATCAATCAATTGTCCCCGAGATCCCCTCTGGCCGGACGGGCTATCTCAAGTTGAACTTTCCAGTCAAGGAGAACGCCATACCAGGCGATGGCAGTGCCAGACTGGCCATCACCGATATTTGGGACGTGGGTCGATATATTGCCAGAATCATCGCTGATCCACGAATATTGAACAAGTCCGTTTTCGCTTATGCAGAGGTGCACACCGTGAACGGGCTATATGATATCTGGGACGACGTTACCAAAGAAACGGTAACTCGCAACTACGTACGTACCTTGTCGCTGTGTGCTTGCCAAGTTTGCTGATTTGAGCGCAGCTTAACGAAGAGCAAATCGAGGAAATGATCTCGAAAGGCAAAGCTGGTATCGAGTCCGGCAGCCCAGATTTGCAAGCCTTTGCAAATTTGCATGTAGGCCAATATTGGCGCAGCTGGGGTATCAGGGAAGACAATACACCAGAGAACGCAAGGTACTTGAGATCATAAGCCAGTCGCTTATCCAGAATGGGTAGAAAGAGCTGTAGCAGGAGAAATTAAATCGCCGTTGGCCTAAGGGCATGGTCTGAAGATCAAAGCCTGCGCAGAGCAGCACAAGTCTCAGATATCGAGGCTCTGCCTAGGCAACCAGTGAACAAGCGGGTTCACGTATGACACGATGCTCAGTCACGGTCCAGACTTATTCCTAGCTTCTTTGACAGCGCCATGTTGTGAAAATGATAGAAGTACTCCGCAGGAACAGAGACGCGTGCAAGATCCTCAGAAGATGGCCTTCAGTCTTCTATCCGCATCGGCCATTGTGCTGAGGAAATTTCAAGGAGCAGATGGCATGCTCTACTGGTCGACCTGCGGAACGTCTCGCCTTGTGCCTTGTATTGCTGCAACGTTTGCAGTGAAAAGAGAAAGATGCCCATGTCCGGAAGGTCGTTAGTGTGATATGAGAGCATTACAAGGTTGTCGTACGAGCACGCGTGTGTGGACGAAGTTCACTGCTGTTGTGATTGCATGTGGCGTTCAGCCACTGTGGCTGTGATCAAAGTAGGAATGACGCTTTGTGGGCTGCTGACCACATCTCAAGTTTCAAGCTCCAAGTCCGCCTGCACAACCTACACCTCTCTCGATCCACCTCCGCTCTCTCCTCTCCCCTACCGACATGTCTAGCAAAATCCAAAAGGTGCTCGCGCGCCAGAAAGCCAAGTCCGACCCTCAACAGCTCTTCCCAACGGACCACTGCTGACCCATCACCAGAATCGAAGAAGGCGACTTCTACGAAGCTCACCAACAGCTCCGAACAGTCGCCAACCGCTACATCAAATCCGACCCTCCGGCCGCCATCGATATCCTACACAATGGAGCACTCATGCTGCTCAAAGCTGGAGAAGGAGGATCTGGAGCCGATCTCAGCATATATCTCATCGACGTCTACCAGAAAGCGGAGGTGAAACCGGATACAGCCAGCAAGGCACGACTGTTGTCATTACTGCGGGCGTTCCCGCTCAACGAGCCCGGCAAAAAGAAGTTCGTTACAGGCATCGTCGAATGGTCTAGTAAACTTGGCGAGTTCCCGGCAGGTGATCCGGAGCTGCATCATGTCATTGGGTCACTATATGCAGAAGAGGGCGAAGTCTACGACGCGGAGCGACACCTTACACTTGGCACAAGCGACAGTGCGCAAGTATTCGCGGATATGGAGTACACGTGGTACAGCGACGACGAGCCTAGTACGGCTAGCCATTATGCTGCACGCGCTGTCTTCCCATACCTGCTCATTGGCAACACAAGGGCAGCGAACAAAGCCCTGCTCCTCTTCACCTCCCGCCTGAGCACCTCACATCCCGGCCTCGGCGTACAGTCAATATCGAGCCCGAGCTCCGACATTCGAATTTACCCATCTCTCCCACTCCTCAACTTCCTCGGCCTCCTCCTGCTAGCCGTGCAACGCGGCAGCTCAGACCTCTTCAAGCAGCTCAAACAACACTACGCTGCTCATCTGAAAGAGGTTTCGGCCTGGGACGAGCCTCTACTGCAAATTGGGGAGATGTACTTCGGCATCAAGATCCCGAGTCAAAGCAACCCGATGTTCGATATGATGAGCAGTATGCTCATGGGTGGCAGCAATCCGTTTGCGCCGAAGAAGAGGGAGCCGGCGAAGGTGGGACAGGCTGCGATTGCGGAGAAGCCGGGCACTCCTCAGCCTCCTGCGCCGGGTGTGGATTAGAAACTGTATGATAGACAGCGAGACTGAGCGTATACGTGCAGATACCCTAGCATTTATGATATGAGATGAGCATGATTATGGGCCTCGAAACTGCTTCAACATCTGTGCCCTTGTCCTTTGCGCTGAACAGCTTCAGGTTGACTCAGGCTCCAGGCTGCACACATTCCCAGCTCCCCGGAAGAGAGGAATCGCCTCCTCGGTACTTTTGTTCGTCAGCGGCCACCTGATTTCCAGTCAGTCATGTTATACCCCACAGATGTACGAGTAGACTCACTTGCAATGTCTCCTCCTCAACTGCACCCCCAACTCAACCGTATCATCCACAAACTTCGTCCCCAGAACCGTTTCCGGCGCCCTACCCTTCTCAACCCACTCCACAAGCGCAGCAAACACATTCTCCTTCGCCTCGAACGAAATCCCTGCTGCACTTGCCCCACCCAACTGCCCCAGAACCCAACCTCCAGGCCCAGAATTACAATGCCCCATCCCGGAAATTCTAAAATATCTCACCCACTCATCCATCTCCCCATAACTCTTCCCCGTGGCATTCCTCATCCTCTCATAAAACCTCGGCGTATTAAAACTCGTAATCTGTTGATCCTGCAAACCATGATACATCACTAATCTCCCGCCTCGTTGTCGAAAAGCTCGAAAATCTTTCGGCCAAGTTCTGATATTCCCTGGATTTTTCAATTCTGCGAAGGATGCGTCGGCAGTGGAAAAAGTGTATGGATCCCAGGAGGGGTTGTTGTAGACTATGTATTTGAACCATTCGACTGAGAGAGAAAAAGGTTGGCCGGAGAGGACACCTGTTGAGGCGGCGATTTCGGCGCCGGGTTGGAGGGGTGGGTAGATGAGGGTTTTGTTGGGGTAGGTGTAGGGTTGGTAGATTTTTGAGATGGGGTGGATTTGTTGGGGGGTTAGGCAATTAGTTGTTTGGGAGGAGGAGGAGCAGAGGAGTTTGGCAGGGTCGGAGTTGCATTGGAGAGGGTCTTCGATTACGTTATCGTGGACACCGTCTAGGGCGTCGCATTGTCGAAGGACTTCGTCGTGGACGAAGGTACGCCAGGATTCGGGTGGGATGTAGTCGGTGGAGGTGTTGAGTGGGAAGTGGCCTCGCCAGGAGTACAGGTTGTTGAAGTCTACCGCGGGTGCTCCGGCTAAGATTGCATCGTAGTCGGCAGGATATTTGTCGGCGGCATCGATGCCTTGTCTGCCACCGAGTGAGCAGCCGATGTAGTATGATACCTTGTGTGATTTGCGGTAGAATTTGCGGGCGAGCTTTTTGCCTACTTGGGCCGTTGTGTGGAGGCTGTCGCGGAGTTAGCCAACATGGCAGAGAGGATATGGATACGAAGTCAACGAACGAGCGGTGAGCATAGTCCTCTACGACATCGTCGTTGTTGAGCGCAGTGATGAGCGTCGTTCCATTATGCCCATTGTTCGCGCCAGCAGTAGCGAAACCATTCTGAGAGCCATATGCAAGATCCTCGTAGCGGATACCTGTAGTTTCTTGTCAGTAGCCTCATACACGACATCGCTATCTGTAATCCGCAGCCGCAGCGAGGCTAACCTACATCCATCCACGCCACCGTTCCCAGTGGCCAAGAATCTCCCTTCCCATTTCTCAGGCAGCCAGAGTTCGAACGTGATACTTGATCGATGCGACGTTGGTATGGAAAGTGCTATGCGGCACACTGCTCCTGGGACAACTTGGCTATTTCGATTACAGCTCGCAACATTATCCCGTAATGTCAAATTGGTTCCAGGCGCAACGTATTCCAGAACGTTGCGAGTAGCATTCTTGACGTGCTTCTCGGGCTTGAAAGAACGACATCGTGCTTCGAAGTCTTTTTGTTGCTTATGCGCATCTACTGTGACCACGAGTAGAAGCCAAAGGTGGCTTAGAACAATTCCAACAAACATGATAATCTAGGGTCAAAGCTGTGAAGAAGGCAGCCCGCAGCTCAGCGAGGCTTAGCATTCTTGTACTGTAGACTGGTTCGGACGTGAAGAATAGTTGCTCCGCACTGCACATGCCCTGTCATGTGGGTGAGCCGTACCAGACCGGGTAAAAAGGAACGTGCGAATGCTGGGAGGATCATGCGGTCGGTGGCGTCCACGCATTAGTGGAGCGGCAATCGGCTTCTGTCATTCATTGTGCGGGGTTGGAAAAGCGTTCTGTGATACAATGTGTGAGCGGCTTGCTACTTCACAGAAGAGGAAGGTGGTGAGAGTGGCCGATGTCGGAGTCTCCAGAATTAGAGGTCTTGTATGGCTCGTTTGCTTGCTTGGGGACAGGGGCGTGCTGATCGTGCTCTGTCGTCTACAGTGGGATATGCATGTTCCTGATCGATGGCTTGGAGGTATGGGTAACGTACCCACATCGTACGTGCCTAAGCTCCAAACCCGTGGAAGCCTGAAGTGCCAGATCACTTCATCGATCTTGCGTGCTCATGAAATCTCAACAGCACCCTCTGGAACACCCTTCACACTTCTCAACCTCCTCGAGAAGAATTGCATGATGGGCAGCATCTCGTCACGATTTGCAGGCATCGCATCTCCGCTCCTTCTATACCTCTTCACCTCAACATGCTGAAACACTCTCTTCAACTTGTCTTCGGACTCTCTAGTCACAATCGAGCCGCCATCATCGTTCCCACAACAAACCAGTACCGGCGTCCTACATTTTGGATCCAGTGAAGCCGGAGCATCGGATGACAATCCAGCTCCAATACTAATCACACCACCCAACTCGACCAAAGCAGGATCCTTCGCCTGATGTGCTTGATCAATCGCAACAGCTGTAGATAGTGCAGCCATACCGCCCTGCCCGAATCCAAAAAGCAGAATCTCACGTAGACGAAACTCGCATTTTTCGACAAGAATTTCTCGGATCAGAATCTTGAGCAGCTCTGAAGTCTGCTTGAAACCTCCATCTGCGTCAATTCCGCCAGACGAATTGTCGAAGATTATGTCATCACCCCAGTGCCAGCCTCCGAGATCGAGTAGAGCTTGTGGCGCTTGGATCGATATGCAGCAGGTTTCTGGGAGGTTCATCTGCTTTCCGAGATTGGTGAAGGAGGTATGGGAATCTCCCAGGCCGTGAAGCAAGATGAGAATGTTGGTGGGAGCATCGTTGCCGGGTGCTGGGATCCGTTAGCAGGACGTGATACTTACTATGTTGTGGTGGAATGACAAAGCAGGGTGTAGTCTCAGATTGTGTCTGAGATGGAAATTTCACGCAAAATGGGATCCATAGCAATGACCGCTGGTGTCTGGAGAGGCAGGCGCCGAGGACACGTTTGTTGTGTTCTGGAAAGGACAATGTGTTCCATGCGGAGCTGAGGTTTTGGCAGTGGCAGAAGCGGCGGAGGAGAGCTTGGAAGGGTGGCATGCAGGCAGCTCTGGAAAATCGCGAAGTAGCATGAGCATTGACTTACGGGGAACGATGTCTACCTTGACCTTCTGCGGAAAGTCACCAATCGTGGGAAGGCGGCCCATACTGGATCGGGGGGCCTAGAGAGCTTCTGCAGGTACCACGTTGGCTACGGTGAAGCTGGGTAAACTCTCGGCGGGACGGTGAGAACGCTCGCTTCGGCTGTCTCTGGCAGGCAGCTCAACGCAGGAGGTTCGGTTGATTTCACAATGCCGTGATGAGGCAAAGTCGGGAACGTCGTGTTGGTGGCTCAGCGCAGCCACAAATGCCGCACTTCGTTTCTGCACTGCCACGTCATCCGCGCAGCCAGGGGCTCGATACCAAGCACTCTTGGCAGGGAGCTTAGCCGGCTTGTTTTGTGTGACGAACCGGGGTCTGATCGAGTCTAGACGTCAGCCCACCTCGCATCGGCCAAATCATGTTTCCATTGTGCATCATTTCGCGGCCATGCTGGCACGGCAGTTGAGGGCGCTGCTTGGTGGCGGCGCAGGCGGCCTCTCGTTCACTCGCCTGCAGAGCTCACACGGCGCGTTCCATGGCCAGCTGAACGAGGCCAATGCACGCGGCGACGCCATGCGTACCATCATCAGCAGCTCATCGTAAGCAGCAAGTGGGACGCGTCACGCAGGGTCTTTGCTCTGCCTTCTCGTGGAGGGGTATATAGGCGCTGTCTGCCAGCTCAATAATTTCTACTTTTTACCATCAAGCAATAGCAGCTCGAAAAACAGCAAAACACTCTCACAGACTTCATCTCGCACACCACAATCTCCAAAATGTTCGGCTTTGGTAAGACTGAGCTCCCAGAAGCGCCTCAGTTCATCATCTGACCACTCAATAGACGAAGGACGTGACAACTATCAGCAGGCCTACGACAACGACAACAAGGCCGAGCTGTCTCATGAGATCCTCGCCGGAGGTGCCAGCTTCATGGCCATGAAGATGTTCGAGGACCGCCAACGCAAGGAGGGTAAGATCTTACCACCCGCCGAATCCCGCCTTCCTCCTCCAACCACTAACACCTACCCAGGCAAGCCAGTCTCCCACCAATTCGCCAAAGAACTCCTTGCAGGTTTCGCCGGTGGAGAAGTCGACCGCCTCGCCGAGACCAAGGGAGCCGACTACATTGATCGCGAGAAAGCCAAGCGTCAGGCGAGAGAGAACGCAGAGCAGATGTATGACCAGCACTATGGCAACAACTACGACCAGTATGATCCAAACCAGCAAGAGCCACCGAGGCATTTGAGGGAGCACTTCAATGATAACAACTGGTAAACGCTGTCAGTTTTGTGCAGGAACAACAAGGAGCAGTGCGGGCATACATACTGCGGAATATGGCCAGGTGCCTATGAATCCCCAAAGACAGTATCAAATGAATCCACAATATCCCTCTGATAACCTGTGCGATGCGACACACCCCAGCGATTCCTGTCACCTTGCATATACCATACTTGCAATTATGCAAGCCATTTGCTGATCACTCGATAGACAGCGGTCGCTCACAGATCCACACTCCTGAGGAACAATCCCCAAAAAATTCTCATAAATCATGTTCCTATACAAGCATATCATCAAAGTCATCTCTCATACAATCTGGTTTCCTTTGGTATCGTTTATGTCCTCCTAGCCACACACCTCCCGTAATACTCTACCAATGAATGATCGGAGATCATTCCTTCCCTCGCCCCCACGTTGGCACTCGTTCAGAGCATTCAGCTTCTAAACTCACATCAACAACTGACACCACCTCTGCATAGCCTCCTTACAAGCCAAAGAAGGCTCATCTTCTGTCTGCGCGCAAATGGCTTTGATGGCAGGAGCGAGTCGAACGCAAGCTCCAACGTCGACTCCTGGGGCTGGGTTCGGATCTGGTGAGGCTAAAGCTCTTGAGCTTCCGAGAACGAAGGTTGTTGTGATGAGGGAGAGGATTGATGGCTTCATGTCTGCTCCCGTGGACGTCCGATACGTGGAAATTGGTATGTCGGAGACGTCCTGGATCAATCGGTGAGCTATGAATTGATCGATTACTGATACGATCTATACGACCCGGGCCACAAGGTACCACTTACTGTCTGGTTGATACTTGTCTTAAAGTAAGATTTGATGAGATCTTAGTGCAGCATAGCAGAACGGCACAAGTGGTGCACGATGGACCGGAGGACTTTCCTCCTTATACTTTCATTTCGGGACTTGCATAGCCTTCGATGTTCTGTCTCTCCGCATACGAAAAGGCGCTCCACATCAACGACGATCTATGAGAGTCTTGACGTAAGCCTTCGCTTCGTGTGAAAGGCCAAGAGTTGCAGACGCAATTTGCGAAGTTCGGCGAAGTTGAATTCTCCGAAGAAGCCGGGAGGTTGGCTTTGGAGACTGTAGAGTCAGTTTCCTGATCATGACCATGGCGGTTTCGACAAGCACGTGCAGCTCAAGGGTATGCAAGAAGAGGTTGTACTTTCAGTGATGAGGAGCAACGAGAAACATCTGAACTCAGCAACTGTTGAAGATCAGAACTGAACCGCTGCACGGCAACCATCTCAGAAAGATGATCTTTCAATTCAGGCATTGCATACCCACAACTTTTGTGCTCGTCACCTTCGGAGACTTGGTCTCAATACCTTCTTCGATGATCAGGCAACAGGTTCTTTAGCGAGCTCGCTCATCCGTATCGTAGGAAGCGTCGCTCGCTTACGCTTTATATGTGCGACCTTGGCAGAACACATACACCTCCCCATGATCAGCTCCTCGTTGTTAAGAAGTGTTGCGAGGTCTGCTTAGCGTCCACGATGAAATCCGTCTGTATCACCGAATGCACCGAACAATATCCCGAATTTCAGCCAGACACTAACTTCGATGAACTTCACCACACCGCAACACACACTCTGTGAGCTTTGTGACGACTACTCGTAAACAATGCAACAAGATGTAAAGTGTTGTGTTGGATGATCAATGCCCTTGTCTTTTTCACGATTTCTCATCTAGTTCTATATACATACAATACCTTCAGAGTCAGCAACCTCGAGCCAGTCGCCTCTCACATCGAGATTCTCGATCGTTCGTTTCCCAGTATGCCGATGAGTCGATCCAGCGCAGCCAAATTATCAGCACGGAATGCATGAATGAACCAGTCCAGCTGCCTTCCATGCTCTTTTTCAAGAATCCAAATCACGATGCGAAACATATGCATACAAACCATGCCATGCGTTGTCGTCGTCCATAGCACAATTCGTTCTCTTTCTTTCTCATACAAGGTTTTTGCGAAGTTCAAGTTCCCAAACTCCAGCAGTGCACGCACAATGCAAGCTCGCACTACAACACATCACAAACCTCCAACGTTCGCCTACGCCAAAGGCCACCTCGCCCTCAACCCCTCCGTCCACCGTCCATACAACACATCCGACAACATCCCCACATGCTCCATTCCCGCCTCAGCCTTCTGCCCAGGCATCTTCTCCTCCAACTTGGCCCTCTCCTCCATCGCAGCCTTTTCCCTCTCAGCCTGCAACTGCTGACTACTCCTCATTTTCTTCAAATGCGGGTTCTGCGGGTTAAGAATTAACTTATTCGGACTTCCCGAACTCTCCCTCTTACCCGGCGACCGCTTTTCATGAGGTTGCATCTGCGAAGAAGACAACGCATCCATCGGATGCAACGAACACTTCGAAGGAGAAGACTGAGGCGTCATATCTCGTGTCGAAAGTTCCGTTTCACTGATGTTGAGGCTCTTTTTCGAGGGGGAGAGGCGCAGAGAGGCGAGTTGTGCTTGGGCGACGCGGTGGGGCATTAGAGCGCTGGCGAGGCGGGGGTCGGCTTGGATGCGGTCGAGGATGCTCTTCATGAGGAGGAGTTCGCCTTCGGGGTCGAGTTCGTCGAGGCGGGACCAGGCTTCGGCGACGTTGCTGAGGGCTTCGCGTTTGGAGCTATCGGCTGTGGCGGCGTAGGTTTCTTGGAAGGCTGGGTCTAGGCACTTAGCAAAGGCTCGTCGTCCGAGAACTGCTTCTTTTGTTGCGGCGACTGGTGGTTGCTGGACTGGCTGTGCTTGAGGCGGTTTGTTCTCGGCATCACTGTCGAAAATGCTGTCTTGGGGTGAGTTGGCGAGCTGCTCTGGTGTTGATGGGCGGTGACCTGAGCTGACACGCTTGAACTGTCTCGTTGTGGCGGCGCCATTTCCGAAGGACATGTCCAGTCCAAGGGGTTGCTTCGGTTGCTGTGCACTCGCTTTCCTCGTAGGCGTCATCGCTCCGGAAACATTCCGACTGACTACTCTTCGAGCAGTGGGCGTATTGCCAGATGCATTGCGCATAACCACTCCAGAAGCTTTGCGTTGGGTGCTGGTTATGCCACTGTGATTGTTCTGCCCTCTGACCTTCGGCGTTCGAATAGTACTGGCTTCCCGTGAAGGTGATCGGATCGAGCCAGACAACGGTGCTGCACGCAAGCTCATAGATTCCATGGCAGACGTTGCGTTCTCAATATCCGAACCATCTCCAGAGGGTATGCGTTCGAGCTTTCGGCGCTTCATAGTGGGTGTGTTCTGGACCTTGGGCCGCAGGCTGGGAACTGGCTTGATAGTGTCGAAGACCCACTCATCGTCGTTCTCCACTCGCTGCATGGACTTCAATGTCTCTTCGTAGTAGCGCACGTCCTTATCGCGCGCTCCGTTGTGCTCATAGTCCTTTGCCATCCACACCAACTCTTGCAGCGTCTCCGTCTTGCCTGCGCGCTTGATCCAGGAGTGTTTCAACAATGACTTCGCACTAGGCCTCTTCTCGGGGTCCTTGTTGAGGCAGAGTGTCACAAATTCCTTGAATTCTCTGCTGAATCTGCTGCCCTCCAGCCGCGGTGGCTTCTCCTTTGGAATCAAGAACAGCACCTTCATGGGATGAACATCGCTGCGCGGTGGCTCGCCATTGGCCATCTCCATGGCTGTGATTCCCAAGCTCCAAATGTCTGCTCTGAAGTCGTAGCCGGCCTCTTGAATGACCTCGGGTGCCATCCAGAATGGTGTGCCCACAAATGTCAACCGCTGAGACTTAATATTCGTAAGCTGTGCAGCAACTCCAAAATCCGCAATCTTGACCTGCCCCGACTCGGACAGCAGAATATTGGCGGCCTTGATATCCCGATGTATCTTCCCCGTACTGTGTAGGTAATCCAACCCCTTCAACAACTCCCGAATGATGATGCAGATGTACTTTTCCTCCATGCCTCGAGGACATGGCTTCAGCAGGTCTAGACATGATCCTCCACCGAGAAACTCCATGACAATCCATAGCTTGACGCCTCGTACGAATGATGTTCGGTATCGAGTCACGAATTCGGAGCTGCAGGTGGCCAGAAGTGATATTTCGAGCTGGATTTCGCGGATATCGTCGTCGCTGCCTTCGAGGTCGATGTGTTTGATGGCAACATATTCGCCGGTGGGCTTGTGCAGAGCGCGGTAGACGGTGCCGAATGAGCCGCCTAGATTGATCAGTATTGTGCTGTGTATTCCAATGGCTTGTGCAACATACTGCCCAGCTCCTCGAGCATCTCATACTCTTCCGCCATCGTGAACGCACTCGCCGCCAGGCGGAATATGTCACCGTGCTGCTGTGTTTACTGCGATGTTGGCCTTGGATAAACAGATAGGAATGGATGAAGAGAAGAAGCGCGCGCACTCCCTTTTTCGCTGAAGGTTCGCGGAGGTTTCAGATGCGGGCGGCCTGAGGGATTTGTAGCATTCGCATCGTGTGCGCGGTGCAGCAGTGCTCGTTCATAGTCGAAAGGGTCGCATGGGCGTGGCCCAGTGATCCGCGCCCAAAAAGAGAGCACAGGTCGCCGTTGCCATGGGCGACCGAACCGGGGATGTGTTTTGGCTTTGAGCCCGCCGACACGTCCGTCGGAGATGCGACCAACGCCGGCAACGTCGTCAAATCTGTCAACGGTGGTGTGTATACGTGCAATTGATATCGGGAGGAGTATGTTGTCGACATAGCTCAGCAATCGTGCACGGGAAGCACAAAGTGGTTTGCATGTCGGCCGCGCGCTTATTATGATGCACAGCTGCGCACAACTCCACATCTTCAGTGCAATCCCTGCAGCCTCGGCTCCAACGGCGCGGAAGTCTGATTTGGGGAGCGGGAGGCGCGTCTTCTCGAACTGCATCTCTTCTGCGTCTCCCTTCACAACACCCGAGATGAAGCGTCATCGCCTCTCTCCATCGCTCTGCGGGTCACATGCTCACGATCATCATCATGCCACGATGGATCAGATGCCGTTCACGCGCTGTCCCTGCATTTCGGCATCTGTCTACGCGAAGCCATCAACATGAATATGCTTCCTGTCTCTTCCGTAGCTTTGCAGGCTATGGGTGTCTGGGCAACCAGGAGAGATGCTTGAGGAGACTTTAGTCGAAGCAGAAGAGGTGGCATGCTGCATCGCGAAGTACCTTGCTTTTTGCCCGTTTCATGTACCAAAAGCCAGGGCAGTTGAACGTGGTCATTTCTTCAACAGTAGGCGTTGGATGCTGGAGATACCCGAACCGTTGAACGGATGCAGCTCAGCTGATGGCGGCCAGCATCGTAGCTCTTGCCGAGACAGGCTCTGTATTTTGATGTCACAGCAAGTTCAGTAAGCATGAATTAAGCTGCTCGCTCGAGCTGACCGCGTCAGAACACCAGAGGTGACGTCTCCAAGGGTGGCATATGCTTGTTCCGAATTCAACGTGTTAACAAGACCTTCCGCGATACTATCCAAGGATCCACTAAGCTGAAGCAGCTGATCTATCTTGCTCCACGGGACAACGCCAAACTCAAGGACGAGGCAGACCTTGAAGAAGGTCGGCTGGCGTTGCACAAGCCTCTAACCGCCTTTTTGTGGGGCATCAACTTTAGGACCAAAAAGGAACTACTGGATCTCGATGCGCACAAGGACGCGGAGGAAGGTGTCGAGGCGTTGGTCACAGTCCTGAGAGATTCCATCTGCAGCGGACGCTCTACTACGCCATACAAAAAGATCTTTGGAAAATGCCCCAAAAAATGGCGCAGAGCTCAAGCAAGCTGGAGAAAAATCAAAGTTTGCAACGCAAGAGTTCCGGTCCCAGTGAGAGTCGTGGTTCAGGGCGAGGAGACTTGGCCAGATCATGCGCTACCAATGGGTGATATCGTCTGGGATCTGGACGAAGAAGCAACTCTGGAGCATGTCTTCGATCTTCTCAGCGAATTCTTGAAAGCGGTCGAGGATCTCCGCCACGGCAAGGATCTCCACGAAAGAAGTCGTGCTAAAAAGCTCTTGCAGTTTGACGAGCGGACCAGTAGCGATCGGCATCAACTCGAGTCTCAACTGGCGATTGAACTAAAAGCCTTGGAAGACGCGTTGGATCGGGAAAAATCTACTCGAGACGACGAGGTCGCACGTCTCGACGCAGAACTTCGTGACATGGAGCTAAAAGCGTTTGGCATAAAGGCAAGTAGCAGCCGGGAAGCACTCGAGAGCCAGCTGACGATCGAAAGATCGTACTTGGGCCGCGAGGTGGATGAGCAGGGTTTTGATCAAGGCGATGAGATCACGGAGACTATCCGCATGCGCTTGCAAGCGGTGGAGACACGTCGAGCTCAGCGGACGGCATCTGAGAGCAAGTAATCTGGCCAGAAGTACAGCAAAGGGAGCTGCTGGCTCGAGCAGCTAGTCCGCGCTGAACGAGAGGGACGCCTGGCCGTTGGCAAAGGTGTCCGATGAGCAATGCGGACGACAGTGTCAATAGCGTCGGGAGAATATCGATCGAGATCCCCTGAACTAATTGATGCGGCCGCGCAAGGACTGTCACAGCGGGTACGAATGTGTGCTCTGTCTCACGGACAGTCAGACTGACCGCACTCCACTCTACTAGCTCAGATAGCCTGAGACAACAAGTCTCGCCGGTGGCACAGAACTTGAGTATCTCAGCAAAGCGAAGGAAATACGGTCATGAGTGGACCAGCATGGTCCACGATTTCTGCTCTTACCTCTGTCCAGAAAGACGGCAGGCGTGACAGGCTCGAATATCAAGACTAGTTGCAACCAAGTCTCATTATAATCACAATCCTCTCAAACGGGTCTCATTGCAAGCAGTGCGCTCAACTGATTTCGTATACACAGTGCGATGCCTCGCTACCCGAAGAACACGACCCTTAACCGTGCGCTCCAAACGCTTCCGAGCTGCTCGTGAAGACATTTTGTTGCTCAGCGTCGCGGGCAGCAGACGCCAGTAGAGACGGACAGATGCGGAACTGATGATCATGCGCAGACTGGCCAGCACGTTTGCCTGATATTCTTAGGAGAAAGACCTCAATGACAGAAGCTTCGGATATGCCTCGATGCACTACGAAAACGCCGTGATGATTTGCACGGTATCGGTGATTGAGCAGAGGCTTTTTTCATGCGAGCAGCTTCGGGAAAGACATACATTGTACCTCTTCTGCCTTGTCCGATGTCAGAACACTCCGCCGGGAAACTTTGTATCTTTGCTGACGATCTTATAGCCTCAAGCCATTAGTACAAGAGACAAGACGCGTAAGCACTCGAATGCAAAGGATGAGGATCACAGATCTCAGATTCTCGTTATCATCCTTTAATTGATACTCGAAGAGCATCTGCCTGGCAAAGAATACCTCTGACATGATCAGCACTGGTGTAACTAATTCTTCGCGCATCAAGCCCGGCAGGCCAATCATCCCGGTAGCCGCACCGTGTCAATACAGAAGACAAGACATTTCCAAGGTTCTTCCTTAGCGCGAATGGAGACGAAATGCTGTCTTGCGGAATCAGGAATCTGGAGCCTACACCAGTCGCTACTAAAGTCCTCGTTGAAGTCTCGAATCCCACTTCCCAACTCGTTGAGCTCAAGATACTGGAGCTCAGCCTTTTGACTGAGCTCATCTTATGATGGCCCCGGGGACCTGATTTTGATCTTTGCAGACGAATCGTTGAAATTGCGAAGAGATTTGATGCTTAGAATCCTGGCCCTATAGTCTACAGTTTCTGCAATCGTGTTAGATCCGCGGATGATACGATTGCTGTACTGACAATGACCATCTTTCGACAAATATGTACCACATACTGGACGGGATTCTCAAGACGCAAGGAACGTATGCTCTAGTAAGAGGCAGGATGGACCAACGTTGCCAGAGCACTCTGAGAGAACATGTTGCTGCCCGGCTTTCTTGGGAGCGGGAATAGAATGTACGTTATTGCTGCGACTCAGTCCCGTCAGGAGTATTGACTGAAGCTCACGGCGTGGGTACAAGAGGAGAAAATTCGCGCTGTTCTGGATCTGGTGTACGATTTTAGTTCTGCGAGGGAAGTTCTCGTTGAGCTCAAGACTGGTGAAGCTCGAGAGAAGGCCGTGGTGAGCGTCGTACGATCATGAAGAACGTGCAAGAGGTTTCGTTGCGCTATTCGACAACGCGTGTTGTAAGACGTTTGCTTGCAACAAAGGCAAAGCAAACCAAAGACCGGGAGTGTTAAGACAGGGAGATATCAGCCGCAGATAGAGTTCCTCATCAGTATTTTCATCTCTCAGACTCCCTCGCCTTGAGTCTTGACGGGGCCTCTTATAGATTTTCATCATTCGTTATATCAGAACAGGAAGGACTGCAAACGCCGGCAGCGGATTGACCTTTGCACCACTCAGGATTAGTCCTAAGGCTGGAGCCGATTCTCACGCAAACGATGACGTGTGCTTACAGGCAGCAGCCGTATATCGAGGTGAAAGGAAGTCTGTGGAAAGGAGGCTGGCTTGGCAGAGATCAACGCAAGTCGGCAGCTGCAAATTCCACTTTCGCACAACACATCGCAACTCCTCAATTACTTTCTCGCGGGTCGACACTGACTCGACTGCTTCACCCAGAGCATTCGTCCCTGACGATCGCACAGCGTCCAAGCTCAATCAATTTCACGTACACAAGAGCCACAATGGCAGACAACGCGCCACCAGTCGAAGACCCGAAGACAGAATTCACTCGAAGCAGGACCACTCTATCACCACCTCAGTACACCGGTGATGCCGCTGGTAGAGTCTCTGCTGTCACTGAGCTTCTCGAGCACATTCTCCTCTTAGCGGTCGCCAGTCAATGTGACGAAGCGAAAGACAACATGGATTGGACTGGACTCAAGATGCCGGGCTGCGGCAACGTTGCAAAAGGTGGTATTTGCCTCTTTCGTATTCAACGCGTCAACAAGACTTTTCGTAACGCTGTGCAAGGCTCCACAAAGCTCAAGCAGCTGATCTACCTTGCTCCGCGCCACGACACTTCTGGTATTTTGGAAGAAGACCATCTGGAGGGCACTTGGCCTGCGGCCTACAAACCTCTTGAGTTCATGGTCTCGCTACTTGGGGCTCATGTGGAAGATGGCTTTCTTGACCTCTTCGGTCTCCAACAATGGGTGCCGGGAGCTGAGACCCTCGTCACCAAGACGAATCCCAGCCTCGTCGATGGACTCGCAACACCGTATGAGCAGACTATTGGTAAACTGCCGCAAGGTTGGCACAATCCAGAAGCTAGCTGGAGAAACATCAAGATTTGCACTGCTAAGGAGCCCTCTGCAATTCGCTACGCCTTCTGGACTGATTTCGATGAAAACGCCGACGCGCCGCCGTTCGACCCGATCTGGCAGCTGGGCAAAGATGCGACACTGGGGTACGTCTTCGAACTCTACAGCATCGTTCTGGAAGTGCTTGGTGATTACATTCCAAAGAAGATACTCATGCAGCGCAAGCATTACGCTGTATACAACAAGTTGCTCGAGTGCCTGGCCAGTGGGGATGAGGGGCTCGATCAGAAAATTCGGCATCTAGCATATCTGGTGGACATCCAGTTCACCGACGATGTCACGGCGATGGGACATGAGATGGAAAAAGTGATCGCTCGTCGCACGGGAGAGATTGAGATCCAAGAAGAGTCGGGAAAGCTGCCAGAGAGTTGAGTGCAGATTTTCTAACGCTCCACTTGACACGCTGGAAGGCTTCACGATGGTCATACCTGTCATGAGCAAATGAGCTACTGCAAAAGTATTGTATCAAGCGGCAATCGCATGCGACCGATCTTCCGTATAGATGCTCGCATGAAGTTATAGCGATACAGAAGCGAATGCAAGAACATGGCCACGGATCATTGACTTATTATGCATGTTGGTCTGGATGGTTCAGGGCTCACTGATCTCTTGCAGTGCTCCAAAGTACACATGCTATACCTCCGCCAGAACACTAACGTGACCTTACTGAAATGTGCCAGTTGGGATAGACGGTGCGGACTTGCAAGAGCACAGAGCACGGGAAGGGAGTGAATGGCAGGAGCACGTGGACTTGGCGCGAGTGAACGGAGCCTCCGCTCATCTTTATAGAATTCATCGACCAGAGCTTCTTCTTTATCAACATCGACGCGACACTGATAGATTCTCAGAATAGACTCCATACACAGGAATAAACATCAACATCGCCTCGATACATACACATCCTTCCTACCGATTCTGCATACAAGCATGACCAAGTCCGCCTCCACCACAGCGAAATTTCCCAACCACACCGGGCAATCGTTGCCGTCACTCGAGTCCGCGATGTCAACACCACCGGACTACAACGGCGATGCTGCTACAAAGGTGTTCGCGATTCCCGAGCTCCTCGAACACATCCTTCATTGTGGTGTAACAAGCCAATACAACAAAGCACTTGCCGACAAGAAGATTCCGCAGCTCAAGATGTGGCCTATGCCAGGATGCGGCACCAAAGACGGCATTTGCCTCTTCACCATCCAACGAGTCAGCAAAGACTTTCAAAACACAATTCAAGGATCAACGAAGCTGAAGAAGCTCATGTTCTTAGCGCCGCAGGAAAACGACGAGCTGATGGCCGAGGAGGATTGGAGAGAATTGGAGCTGCCATACTTTGAGCAGCGTGTCTGGCTTCCTTTGCACAAGCCTCTCACCTGCATCTTGGGGATGTTCGCCTCGATGGGAAAAGAAGACCTGATAAAATTTGGCTTCCAAACCAGATACCAGTCCCAAACTGAGGGCGACTCAATGGGCGTGTGGCTTATGGACCCTATTTTTCACGAAGATACTGCACTCAGCGAAATTGCAGCGAAGAAAGTTCCAAAGGGTTGGCATAACCCCGAAGCAAGCTGGCGCAAGATCAAGGTGTGCAATGCGAAAGTCAGACAACCAGCTAAGCTGAAGATTGAGAGCACTTGCTGTTGCTGTGACGAGCATGACCTAGTGGACTTTGAGATCACTCTGGAGCTCGACGAGGACTTGACTCTGGAGCATATTTTCGACTGCTTCAGTGAGCTGTTTACCATAGCTGGAGACCAATTGAAGAAGAGGGAGGAATTTGACAACTTTGCCGGGGGCAATGACCACGTTTTGGAGCAGTACCGACACAAGTTGCAAGAGCTGGAAGCTGAATCGAACAAAGAGATTCTTGCGCGGCTCCAGCATATCGTCAAAGGCTAGGAAGAAGCAGGAGGACTTGAGCACGGGGCAGTGTTGTGGTCAACAAAGGAATCCCGTATGAAGCTCTGGAGGACTCGCACAAAGGGTGCATCGCGTTGGCAGAAGAACAAGGAGTGGTGTCAGCAAGCTTTCAGATGCGATTGATGACTACAAAAAGGGCATAATCACAAGGCTTGCAGGCTTGGAAGAAAGAAGTCCAGGACTTTTCAATTCATGTTTCATTGGGAATGCGGCGCTCTCGAGTCGGCGAGAAGAAGCGGATGAGGGCCATAGACGAATGATACGCGTCAAGCGCAGATCGCCAGATGAGTTGAATACAATAGAATTACCGCAAAGGTTCTAGGAGCATGTGGAAACGTAGGTATGACACGTTTGCTCATCTTTGATCAAACAGCAAGCTAAGCGGTGAGACGAGATTCAAAACGCTAAACCTTCCATCGTATGTAGGTTTCAGCGAAATCAGAGTCTCCTTTTCAATTCTTTATGATCGCTGTTGCCACTGTATAAAGTCTGTCAGTTTGATATAGCACGACGAAGATGTCGTGCAGTAGAGCAGACATCGGGTGCCGGATGCGTACATTGATGCTGCGGTCAGCTCTGAGGGTGACTGATCCTCTATGTTTTCATTTCGTCACGATTGATGAAGAATGTTCCGAGTCAGAAGCACCGAACATCCAACGGAGTGAATGAATCTGGCACATGAAAATCACTAGGCTTGGCAGATAGATGAGCCGCCGCACTGCCTTGCACAAAACACGGCAACTTCAACCTCCCGTCCCTTCTCGCCAACATCAACTTTTGACTCGAATTGGACCAACTGACTCTTCACCGCCACCGGCCGGTCAGGCAATCTTGACTCGATCTTGAATGTCGCCCAAATGGCGGCTGACACCAACACGATGCCCCCACCTGACTACACTGGTGACGCCGCTTCGAGGGTGTTCGCGGTGCCTGAGTTGCTCGAGCACATCCTATTCTTGGCTGTTACTACGCAGCGCATCGAGAACCCAGACTACGATGAGCCTGGACCACTAAAGATGTGGCCAATGGCGGGATGTGCCATCGTGTCCGAAGGCTGTGTTTGTCTCTTCCAAATTCAGCGAGTCAGCAGAGCCTTCCGGCATACCATCCACGGATCGGTCAAACTCAAGCGGCTCATGTTCCTTGCTCCGCAAGAGAACTCCAAGCTTTTGAGTGATCGCTCAGAGCCGGAACCCGGAATGGAGCTGCATCAACCTTTGACATCTCTGTTGTCGATGATGTGTCTCACGGAAATCGAAGAGGCAATGGTAATCGAGGAAGTCGACATTACCGATGGGAACTATACTTGGCATGCCTTCATCTACAGTGAACTCCTCTCCGTGTCCGAAACACCCTATGATAGGGCCCTCGGAGAACTGCCAAAAGGTTGGCGAAACCCTGAAGCAAGCTGGAAAAAGATACGAATCTGCAATGCTAAGGTCCCGTGCGCCCTCAACTTCCGTGTAGAGGGTGAGTTCCAAGAGGATGATGAGGCTCCGCCATTCAATATCACGTTCCGCTTTGAGGAAGATGACACCTTGGATCATGCCTTCAACCTTCTCGAGGGCCTCCTGACGGTGCTAAGCAAGTACAGAGATAAGAAGATTGCGATGGACAACGACCAGCGTGCAGAGGAGGATTTGCTGCATGACACACCACAGTCGGAGCAGTCTTCTCAAAAAGCCATGACTGCTATGGAAAAGAGACATGATAAGAAGAGACTTCAGCTGGAACGGGCCTTCGACAGAGCGCTCAAGCGTCGCACTGCGAAGATTCAGGAGAGCAAGTCTAGCCATTAGGTGACCTACTGCTGGTTTCTGGCACCCACACTCGCCACGCTGGTCGAAGTATTGCGGGAGCGCGAATCTCGAATGACGAGCTTGAGCCGAAAACGTCATGGCGAAGACACGGGTCATGTTAGGGGCTTTGCAATAGAAGAAGCACCGGATGAGCCGAACCCGTAGGTTGCGTAGGAACGCAGCTGGATCCAGAGCTTCTGATCGAAACGTCGTCTCGAAGGGTGGAAATGCAGGTGGCTTCACAACTTCAGGCTTTGTGTGAGGCGATACGCCCAGACAGGCATGAGGCTGACGGACAAGCAGTCTTCTTGATGATTTGACCACTCAGCCGGTAGATCAGCACGAGCAGACAAATGCCATCAATGTCAATTCTACTCATTCCATCTCACTTCCCAATACATCAACTTGGCCTTCATTCGCGTTCCCTGTGAATGCTCCCATATTACATACAGCTCTGATCAACGACACTACTAAGCTGCATCAATCAGGCCTCCTGACTCTCAGTCGCCGCAATAGTACAAGCGGATGGCAGGGAAAATGTGTTTTGAATGTAGTGCGGTTTGCGTTGTGGCGAAGTGTTTGTATTACGGTCACGGATGCTCTTTCGAACCTTTGTTTGTGATTACATTCGTTCTCCTATACAAGTAGAGCACAACACCTTTGCGATTGCTTCTCTGTATTCTTTACAGTCAGGTCTAATTTGTGAAACCATACGTATATCATCAGCTTTTACCGTGCGTGTGTAAAGTTCATCGCAACAACAGTCCGTTTCAAATGCCATTTGTACGCTGATCATGCCTTCAGACTCATCTGGGCGACAAGCAGGTCAACGTTCACGAGGCTGAAGGATCCATCGATGCGGCTCATACGTGCCGGTCCGGCCAAGCACGTTGAGCAACACATGCCACAAGCCAAATGATCGTGCATTTCACGTGCCATGGCCGGTCAGAGTAGAAGTAAGGTGGTTGGAAAAGAGCATATCAGCGGGCAGGGAGAGTGGGGCTGATTGGTGAGTACGGCAGGCACAGCCATCACCTCCACAGGCACTTGCAACAAGTTCAACCTACTCGACACACTTTCACCGACTTCACACTCCAAATTGTCGGTAACACTCGACCAGATCGTTACTACTACCGCAAAGCGTCACTGCACCACTCTGCCTCTCTGGAGGGCGGCAATTGATTACGTGTCTCTTCCATCTAGCGATCACAGCTGTTGCGACAAGATCTGAACCGGAGACAGCTCGGCCTGTCAATCGTTCATCAAGCTCGAGCATTTCCTAACTCACCTCCACCGTAACGGAGATGGAGACGGCTATCGACACCCCCTTGCCACGAGACTACACTGGCGATGCTGCCGCAAAGGTTTTCGCAGTGCCCGAGCTGCTGGAAGAGATCTTGCTGCAGGCTGTGGACGATCAGTATCCTCTCGGCCCCTTTAGAGACTGGGACCTGAAAATGTGGCCGATGCCAGCATGCGGCTATCTCTGGAAGGGCGGCATCTGCCTGTACCGTATTCAGCGGGTCAGCACAGCCTTCCGGCACACTATACAAGGCTCAAACAAGCTCAAACAACTCATGTTCCTTGCGCCACAGGACAACGCCGCGCTTAGCATGGACTCCGACAGCCTTTTGCCGTTGCATAAGCCTATTCTTTCTCTCATGAGCATCATGCGTCTTTCCGACGCCGATCATACCGTCGAATTTGATGATTTCGATGAATTCGAGGTCGTTGATGGCATCGCGTCGCCGGCTTGGAAGATGTTCAAAGATCTCTTCAGCCCGCACATAACGCCTTACGACCGTACTATTGGAAGATTGCGAAAAGGCTGGAGTAACCCTGAGGCAAGCTGGCGAAAAATCAAAGTTTGCAACGCAAAGGTGCCCTCCCCTCTCAACTTGCGTCTCTTCTACGGTCCGTACCACGCGAACGACGAAATACCGCCATTCTCCATCACTTTCGCTTTGGACAAAGACGACACGTTGGAGCATCTCTTCAATCTTTTCGATGGCTTCATGGCTACTCTGAGCCAGTACTACGCCAAGAAACACTCCATGAACCTCGACCACGAAGAAGAGCAGCGTCTCCTGGAGCAGAAGCAGACAAAGGAGAGAGATGAGCTGGCACAAGCCTTTGGTGAAGCGCTGAAGCACGGCAAAGGAGAGGTTGAGAAAACCAGAGATCGATCTTAGACCGGTAAAGCATCTGCATTCTGTGAGTCCTTTCTTTGAGCGATGTGGAAAGGTGCCGGATTACGAAACTAAGGCAAAGGTTCGAAGCTTATGGCCTGACGATGGTGATACCAGTTGCGAACTGGAGTAATCACAGAAGAAAGATCCAGTCAGTTACGTCGAAAAGGGACACGAGGACGCAGATGTGTCCACAGATTCTAGTGGTCGAAAGAGACGAAGACGCTGAGTTAGTTACAAATCCACTTCTACGATACCGTGACCTCTATATGAGACGGGCCTCGAATGGTCAGTGCAAAGAACCATACAGTGTCACAATCATTCCACGCATTCTACGCTCTGCTTCCGAATCGCTCGAAGTCTGAGACTTTTGCGTGTGATCTTGCAACACCCTGGCGAGCGATACTGACGGGTAGGGACGCATGAAATTTGCAGATATCTGTCAATGCAAGGTCAAGCTGTTACGATTGTCAAACCGAGGGGTAAGTTGGTCCATGGCACTATTGTTTGCCCCTTGAAATTCCCTCCGTCGCCTCCAACTCCTGACCTCTATTCTATGTGAGCAATCTAATTGCAGTCATGGACGCCCGATGTGGCCAAAGCTGCTGCGATTTGCGAGTCTAATGTTCCATCCCTGACTCAAGCCAGAGTCAAGAATGTAAGTTTGTCAAACAGAGATGATTGTTACAGTGTCCTGTCGGTCCATCTACATCGCATGAAAAACACCTGCAACAAAGTCACGGGTGTTCTCTTTGATTGCTATTTGTGCCTGATGTTGACTCTTACAGATTAGGAGCACATTATCCTTCTGGCCACTTTGCTGTAAATCGTTCTAGCTAACAACTCTCCTTGAGACCCTCTGTATATGGAACGACATTGCTTTATGTATACTGCGCAACAGCAGTCCTCTTACCCTTCAACACATTACTATATACAATATGGTGTGCGTGTGTTCATGGGCAGGACGGTGGAAATGGAACCACCAATGCTTTTCTTAAGACCTGGTGAGATAAATGCTGACTAGTCCGAAACACCGGCAAAGGCGTCAACAGTCAGATGCTCAAACATCTCACCTGCTTTAACCTCTCACCATCACTGAGCAGGGCAACGGAGTGAATAACGTTGCTCGAGTCAGCATGTGGAGCAAGTGGGGTGACGTAGAGGTGAATACACTAGTGTTCAAATATCTTGTTGCTTTCCAGCCGGCAACAACCCCGCTACACTCAACAGATTACCGACAACCCTCTACTCTTTCTCATCGGTGGCGCTTCTCTTTGTCGAATTGCAAGAGTCTTTCACCGGCAAACCGACCGAGTACTTCGTTCTTGACTTCTTTGACCTGCCCAACCAATTCTAGGCAAATCTGACAAGACTCGGCTTTGCCTCCACCACTTCGACATGGCAAAACGCGCACGCATCCAAAAGCGAAAAGCCAGCAAGGTGCCGAAGTTCCAGTCTCGTGCCACGACTGGTGATGCTGCAACAAGGGTCTTCGGTGTTCCCGAGCTTCCGGAGCACATCTTGTTGTTCGCCGTCGCCGAACAGGTGCTCAACTATGAGAAGGACGATCTTACCAAGCTCAAGTTCCCTCTAATGCCAGGATCAGCTCGGGAATCCCGTGGTGGCGTTTGTCTCTTCCAGTTGCAGCGAGTCAACAAGTCCTTTTACGGCGGCATTGTAGGCTCCCCAAAGCTCATGCGCCTTATCCTTCTCGCTCCTACCAGCAATGAGGAGCTGGAGAGAGTTGCAAGAGCTAAGAACAACCTAATGCCGTTCCACACGCCTTTTCTATGGATCCTCGAGATGCTAGAATTGAATGCCGGAGAACGACTGCTGAAGTACAACATCACAAGCCCGAGCTACGTTCACAAGCACTCGAAGACCCGTGAGACGATACTGGACATCAAATTCCATAATCAACCTCCTGAAACCAGCGCCTATAAGCGAGCGATTCCGCATGCCACGAGCCCCTGGAACTATCCTGAAGCAAGTTGGAGGAAGATCAAGATTTGCAACGCGAAAGTGCCTTTGCCGTTCATGCCCGGAATCATGACACAGTTTGTGCAACAGGATCATATGAAGGACATCGGCTTCGTGACGGTGGGATGGAGGTTCCGCGAAAGCGATACCTTGGGTTACGCTTACGATCTCATCCGTTGGTTCTTCAATCATATGGCTACCCGGTTTGAAGCGATTCGACAAGTGTACCAAAAGGCGGGGGAACAGGAGGTGATTGCGAAGAAGGAGTGGTGGTCTAAGAAGCAGATACAGCTGAAGAGCAAACGAAAGCATGTGGCAGATCATTATTTTGATGATTCGAACGCGGGCCAAGATTTCCGTTCCCAGCGTAGCAAAGCAGCCGAGGCAGCGCTAGAGGATTTGGATGCTGAACTTGTGGAGTGGAAAAACAAGGTCAGAAGCGAGCAGGCTGTGCGGAAGGTACGAAAGATTAATGGAAAGTAATCGCGATGGTGGAAGCAGGAAGTTGAACACATTGAGCAAGTACAAGAACATGGTAGCTGGAAGGGTTGGGGACGGTGGCGCCCGTCGAGGACGAAGGCATGCGAGAGCGCTGTGCTCCTCTAGACGCCCCTCAAATGACATTAGAGTCTTGAAATGGACAATGTAGTTGGTATGACTGTGGTAGGTGGAACATTCTACGGAGCAGAAGCACCTGCCTACATTGTGCCTTCCGTCGATTCCAAGATATGCTTCCTTTTCAGGAGACTATAGCAATAGATATGGATCTTTGCAGAGAAACCTGGACTCAACTTTTAGCCTTTGCTTCGAGAACAACAGGGTGGAAGGCGACGAGTCACGTGGGCGGAACCAGACACGTGATGGAAGTGAAGCTGAGTGAATGTTGAGCGGCCCGACGTGACTTTCCCATTAATGCAGGCAACCATGACACTTAGGCAACATCTTTTCGCCAAAGTCACACGTCTTCTTCCACGACACTTAGACATTCCATCTCCACAAGCAAGTAGTTTGGAAGTTTGAACAGATAGGCCGGCAGACACTGCTGGTTTCGAGTCACCAAAAGCAACCACAATCTTCCTCGAACGCCACAACGCTTTCTGCAAGTTGCAACATGGCCAGAAAGAAGTCAAACGCCACGCCAGCCTACACGAGGCGCGTCGCCGTCATGACTGGGAGCAAGAAGCGCGCTGCAGATATCGACGCGGCCATGCGCGTATACAGCGTCCCCGAGCTCCTGGAGCAGATCCTGCTGTTCGCAGCTTCCGGCCAGACTCCAGCCAGCGACGATAGCAGGAGCCAAACCCTCAAGCTTAGCCCTATGCCTGGCTCGGCTAAAGAATCTCGCGGAGGGACCTGCATGTTCAGTCTTCAGCGCGTAAAGAAAGATTTTCACGCCACAATCAATGGCTCTGTGAAGCTCAAGCGGCTGATGTATCTTGCACCATATCCCAATAAGGACCTGCACGCATCATCTACGGCACGCAAAGCCCTTTTGCCATTCCATACGCCATTCTTCGCTTTGTTGGACAAGTTGCACGAGAACAGCTGGAACGGTCTACTGGGTTGGGACTGGCAGTACAACCGCTTCAACCTGGTAGGTGCCGACGATCTGACCACGCATTTGAACGTTGACATTCGGAACGTCGTCGGACAAGACAAGAGTCTGTACGAGGAGGCGACCTCGAAGCTAGCACCAGGATGGTGGTACCCCGAAGCGAACTGGCGACAGATTCAAGTCTGCAATGCTAAAAAGCTCGTCTCATTGACCGTCAGTATCTCCTACTTCCATTACGTTGAAGGAACAACTTCATACAAAGCCAATCTTGCATGGGATCTGCACGGCGACGAGAGTCTCGGCTACATATTCGATCGCTTTGGCAAACTCCTGCAGCTCATCGACGAGACACGATTCGCGGTTCGAATTATCGAGCGGCAATGGAAGACCAACATGGCCGAAGCCAGGGCTAGATTCCAGGGTCACTATCGGGCCGCAGGCAAGTATATGAGCCCGCACGCGGTCTGGTGGGCTCAGCAGCCAGTCCGGAAGGAACTGACATCGAAGCGCGTGCATGAACTGGAAGCTGAGCGGGAGAAGCTGAAGTCAGCAGTGAACGAATGGGAACTCAGTGTCAAGCGCGAGCCAGCTTCGTCCGAGCAGGATAATTCGGTATTGCACCATCGATTGCTTGTCGTTGGTAACTGAAAGATGCAAGTTATAGATGGAGGGCTGCAGAGGTAGCATTGGATGAGTGGAACCGGAGATTTGCATGAGTACGCGGCTGTTTTCTCAGCTTCTGGTCGTCAAACAAGTCGCAAGTGTTGTACAAAGCTATAGTCGCCCACGAGAGGAGGTCCTCACCTCGGCATGAGGTTTGAGTAGCTCAGGAAAGTGCGTTGGGAATGGCAAAAATTAACTCGTACAAACCTAGTTCTCCTTTCCCACGATCATTGACTTGCTCCTTGTCTGCTGGCCACTTCTGCAGTCTCGTAGGACGTTTGATCAACATCTCTAATTCGCCGAACTCTACAGCTCTCAGCTCAGATGGAGTCATGGATCATGATTGCTAGTCAGGAAAAATTGTTGCCGATTTCGAGAGCTCCTGCATTGAGCTTCTGTGATGAGATTTAGGGTGCCTGCTTTGGCGTTCATGATGCCCAATCTTTGCTCTTGCCTGCAGAAATAACGTTGGTTCTTCCTGCTGCTTAAACGCGCTTCTGCTAAGCCAGCCTCCCCCACAGCTTGTGCGGTCAAGAATCGTTTTATCTGAAGAACTATCATATCTCGGGCTCACTTCCCACGAGTGTCGAGACGTTTTGCGGCAAGATATGAGTGGCATCATTCGCGAAGTTCACCCGCTTCTCACGCTGAACACCCCCGCTGGAGCCAGTGAGGATGGGGGCGGGGAGTAAGTGAAGTGAAGGAAGTGAGGCGCACTAGAAAGCAACGGTCGCGCCACTGACATTGTCCCCCTTCGTGAACAGGCAACCACCGCAACCTCACACTCACAACGGCGTCGCAATCGCGCTGCATGCCCACGTTGTGCACACTCAACACAGACAAAACGAGGTGTTGGCAAATCAGGTGCCAGATTTGAGCCACTCTCCAGAAGCGACATCCATTACCGCACCCACGCTACAAGTATCATCAAACGACAACATGGCAGAGAGTGCGACTGCTATCAACGTGCTCGAGGCGCGGAGTGCGAACCACCTGAGGCGCCCTGTGAATGGCGATGTCGCAATGAAAGTCTTCAGCATTACCGAACTCCTGGAACACATTCTGCTCTGTGCCATCGCTGAGCAAATGCCAGAGCGCCTGCGCTACGATAATTCCATGCTCAAGCTAAGTCCAATGCCTGGCTCTGCTCGAAGAAATTCGCGGGGTGGAGTCTGTCTCTTCAGTCTACAGAGCGTGAACAAGGTCTTTCGTGCTACAATCAAAGAGTCGACGAAACTCAAGCGCCTTATCTTTCTGGCGCCATACGGCAATCCGGTTCTAAGAACATCCGATGCTGCTCGCCAAGACTTGGTACCATACCACACGCCACTGTTCTCGATCTTGGATAAGCTGGACAACAATACAGACAATTGCCTTCTTCACTGGAACTACAACAGTAGCCGCATGGTTCAGACAGACCCCGAATCTGGAGTTACCACTGTCACAATCAAACTAATGGAGGATGTGCCCGACGAGAAGAAAATGTACTCGAGGGCCATGTCCATGATGCCGAAAGGCTGGTGGAACGCTGAAGCAAGCTGGAAAAAGATCAAAGTATGCAACTCCAGAGATATGGTGCCCCTGACGCTTAAGATTATGGAACAGGACGAAGGTCTCCCGTTGTCACTCTTTTCCAGGTTTGGCCGTCTAGACATCTCTTGGAAGCTCAAAGGGGACGAGACTCTAGGCTATGTGTTCGAAATGCTCAGCAGGTTACTCCGCCTCGTCGCCGATCGGCGAGCGGTGGCCAGAGAGATCGAACGCAAATGGGAGCAGCTTCAAGCAGATGTAGAAGGCGAGTGGTACGACGCATATGGAGAATCAGACGAGGAGGGTGGAGAGTCTTTTTGGCAGCACCGAGAAAGCTTCTGGGGCTTACGTGACGTTGACGTTGGAACTCAGCTGAAGAAACTCGAGCCTGTCCTTGAACAGTGGAAGCTCGCTGTCGAAAAGAGACAGGAAGCGAACAAGGAATTGCAAAAGGACAGAAAAGAGTCGTAGGGGCTTAGCAAGGTATTCAAATCAGCGTTAAAGGCAGCTGTTGACACTGGAGAGCAGAAGCAGAGGTCAGAGCAGGGACGGAAGAGGCTTTGAGCAAGCATGAGCAAGTCATGTGCGAAATGGTCAAGCATCATGGCAGTAGTTGAGGACGGTGCCGAAAACGCACGACTGGCAAGCCTTTACAATGGAAGCCAGAGTACACATATTGCGTTGAAATGTAACAATGAGCTCATGACAGCTTGCACGGTTCCTTCCTTGGTTGTCTTTTGCTTTTTACAGCGATTATCAAGCTCCAAGGATTGATTCTCATTATGCATCTACTGATATCGACCTTATGTTCGACACCACACCCGGAGCTCTTCATTCATATGACAACTGCCGACTTCGCAAATTATATGGGCGAGACGCCTGGTATATAACAATTCTCGATATATAACAAATAATGCTATCTGTATCTGGCGAGCTTACAAGGCTGACAGTACAGGCTATACTGTGCCGGCAGGTACGGAGATCCGAGCGACTCTTCACAAAGCCCACAGCTCCCTATCTGAGATGCTGCTGGGGTGAATGAGAACGGCACGAGTGAAAGAACGGAGCAGGTGGGGCATGTGACAGTGAATGAGTGCTTGAACTCCGGCCCAGCAAGGAACACTTGACTTCTTGACTCAGCCGCTGGCACACATTCTTTCCAAACTCACCACTCTCAACCTTTTGCACAACACCACTGTTCCAATCGAATTGACCAACATGGCGCGGAAGGCGTCAAGTAAAAAGGCGCAGCGCGAGAGAATGAACAAGACTATCAAGACAACGTCTCGTGCTGAAACCGACGGGGCCGGACTCGATCAAGCTTTACTCAGCAACACTTCGTCTGCGAGTACTGCTCCTGACAATACTACTCCTGGCGATGGAATTGCTGCGACGAAAGTCTTCGGCACTACTGAACTACTCGAGCAAATCTTGTTGCTTACGGCTCAGGATCGAATCTCCGGACCCAACTACTTGCCCCTTAGTCACAGGCCGGCCGGCACTTTGGACCCCAGACCCCATTTCTTTCTCCTCCAGCGCGTAAACAAAGACTTCTACGGCACCATAAATGGCTCGATCAAGCTTAAGCGTCTCATGTTTCTCGCGCCGCATAAAAACCACCACTTACAGGCGCTGACAGCAGATCTTCGGCTCGCGCTCCCGTACCATGAGCCTATCTTCTGGCTACTGCATAAGATAAAGGACAAGAGTATCACCGAAGATCTGCTAGATTGGGATCTCCTGCCCTACTGGCTGCCACAGGCCGAACTGGATTCTGGCATTCCAAGACCGACCATTCTGATGCATGGATCCGACTATTCTCCGGTCAAAGGTCGTTTTGAAGAGGTTCTGGCGGCGCTCCCTCAAGGCTGGCTAAACCCGGAGGCTAGCTGGCGAAAGATCAAGGTCTGCAACGCAGTAGAGGCGGTACCGCTGACACTCACAATCGAGCAAGATAGCTGGCGGACAGCTCTCCCTGAGGACATCAGCAGAATCTATGTGCCGTGTCTGCTTCAAGGGGAGGACACCTTGGGCTACCTGTTTGACCTATTCCACGAACTCTTCCAAGAGAGGCATAAGCGGCGAGCGGCGACGCTGGAGATCGAAGTGAAGCGAGAGTCGTTGGAGGATGAGAAGTGGGACACCCAGGACGAATGGCTGGATAATCTGAAGGAAGCCCGAAAGGCTGGCACTGAAAAAACCCACTACGCCATGGTGGAAGAGCAAAAGGCCCTGTGGATCGAACGCGAGGATGAGATCTTGGCAGAGGAGAAGGGACTGAATGAAGAATGGGAGTCGTGGAAGAGTGCAGTATTGAGAGAGCAGGATGAGAAGTTTCACAAGAAGCAGGGCTCGGGTACTGCACAGGAGTCGTAAGGAGCAAGGGTCGGTGGAGAGAATAATTTGACGAGCACGAGATGCCTTCCGTGGGGTTTTGCTGCTAGGAGCTGCATGCTTGAGCGGGAAGGCAAGCACATTAGAAGATGACAGAGTAGAGCCACCAGCAGTAGCGCGAGTCCTCACCAATGAGTTCTTATACATGACGGAGAATGCCATTCGTATCCCATCAATCTACGAAACTGACAGCACGACTTATACAACGGAACTTTAGTCCGTTCTTCAAGGCACTTGGCTGCTCTATGCCCGAAGTGAACCCGGAGTGAATGAGAATGGAGCCGGTGAACGAGGAGCAGGTGGAGCGAGAAGGAGTGAACAACTGTTGTCCATTGTTTTGTCCCCAGCCTATATACTTTCGTTCAACACCTTCTTCGAGTCTCCACTGTAGACCCTTTCTGTTTCTCAACAACGACAACAAGTCCAGACAAAGGAACCAACATGGCGGGGAAGTTGTCGAACATCAAACAGGCCCTCCCACCGAGGGTCAGTCTTCCAAGGAAGGCAAAGTCGCGGGCTGGAGTCAGCCGTCCTCCGCTTGATCGTGCCGCGCTGAGGGTCTTCAGCATTCCCGAGCTCCTCGAGCAAATTCTCTTATTCGCTGCCTCCGACGAGGTCCCCCAGGTCCACCAGCTGCAGTCAAGCACTTCTTTGTCCTCGACTCGAGCAACATCGATCGCCTGGCGTCTGTTCAGTTTGCAATGCGTCAACAAAGACTTCCACAGCACTATCAATGGCTCAGCAAAACTGAAGCGTCTCATGCATCTTCTGCCGTACGCTAACGAGAAGTTGGAGAGGTTGCCACCTGGCACTCGGGAACTCCTTCCTTTCCACAACCCGCTCTTCACCATTTTGGACAAGCTGAAGAACAATGGGCCAATCCGGCTACTACGATGGCACCAATGGCAATTGCAAGGCCGGGTCTGGGACTGGGAGTCCCTTGATGTACACAAGGACACAGGAGCAAGACTGTTCTTCATTCGGGTTTGCGGGCAGTACTGGACGGAAGAATCGAGCTGCTTCGATCAAACCATAGCGGACCTGCCCCAAGGCTGGAAGACTCCAGATGCGAGCTGGAGGAACATCAAGATCTGCAATGCCAAAGACTCTCTTCCACTGATACTGAGGGTCAGACGCGAAGACCGGCCTTGGGATCTCAATTGGGACATGGGGAGGATCGAGTTGAGCTGGTATCTGCGAGGAGATGAGACTTTGGGCTACGTCTTCGTTCTGTTCCTTCAGTTATTCCAACACATCGATGCCATCCGAGTGGCGAAGGGAAACATGCGAACTAAGCTAGAAGAGATCAAGCAGGAGAAGGCACAAATGGAGAGAAAGTGGCAACGAGAATTGGAGCGACCGCGGAAGGTAAGAGGGAATCGAGGAATCACTTCGCAGCGGGCCATCATGAGCGCCCAGAGGAAGTCGTGGGAGGAGTCCGAGAAGGAGTTGGCCGCAGAGCTGAAGAAGACGACGGGTGAGTGGTGGAATTGGGTTTGGGCTGTCGAGAAGGAACAGAATGCAAAGAAGCGGCAGTTGCATCCTAAGAGTGGGTGGAGACATGGTTCAGAAGTATGAGAGGGTCTCCAGCAGAAACACAGTCAGAGGCTGCACAGGCTGGAAGGAGGAGACGTCAGGGGGACAAAATGTCGTCGAGCTCGACAGGTCATGGAACAGGAGCCACCAAGCAGGAGGTCGTTCTGCAATGGAGCAGTAGCGCGAGTCTTCATCTCCACGAGAGGGGCATATCGTACCCAGAATAAATGAGAACCAAAAGTCTTTCGCGCACACCACCTTGTTGCCGTAATATGCCTCTCGCTCGAAGCCCCTAGTCCAGCATTCCAAATATGGACGTCCCTCCAACACACACGGGTTTGACCAGTTCAGACCAGCTCAACACAGACCCTTCTGGATTGCAACCCTCTGTTGTGCCATTATAGCTCGTAAAGCGTCGTGAGCGCTCAACATAGAGTTCGGGCTCTTAACGACTCAGGCAAAAGCATCAGCGGGAAGGTCGAAAAAGACAGCACAGACCAAAATCATTCTTCTTCGCGGTCAACGTCTCCCAAGGGGTTGCTACCATTTCTCCATATCTCATCTACAGCAACTATCGATGCATTCCACCATTTCATCTGATTCTCATTTCGTTCATTTCTTCTCGTCATTTCATGCATAGCAAGTTCATAGAAGTATTCCTTTCCCAAACGCCTTCGCTATGTTGGAGCAAAAGGAAAAAAGCAGGGGATCGCTTGGAGCGGGGGTGGTAAAAGGTTGTAGAGGACGTCGCTGGCCAGGATCCGTGTGTGTCGATAAGTGCTGTGCGAAAGAGGCATTTAGGGCTGATATTCCACAGCTCGGCGTCCATGTGATGCTGCAAGTCCTCGCAAGCTCAATGTGGCCATTCCAGGGGATATGCGCAGTGGAGCAGATTTCTCCAGGCGAAAGAGGCAAAGGACCACCATTGGCGCACGATCCCTCGTCCATTTGCTCGCCGTGGCACGGTCATGCACAATCTCGCCTTCACCCCCGCCCAGCTCATTCAGCCTCTCCAAACAACCTCGCCATGATATCGCCCATGTACTCCTCCTCCAGCTGGTAGAACTCGCCATCGGCCTTATCGATGCCGGCCCACTCGAACGCTGCAACAACCTGTTCGACACCAAATCCCATTTCAGTAAATTGATTCACTAATCTCTCGTTGAAACCACGATAACTGGCCACCCTCGCGGCTTCCTTCTTCCGCTTCTCCTCCTTGTCATCTGACGCCTTCCGCCTCTTCTCCTCTGCCTCATCGTCGTCCTTCGAACTGCTGGCTCCACTCTTGCCTGTCCCAGGCTTTGGCGGAGGAGCTTGAGCATATCTTATTGCCCACTCTCTCGCAACGTGTTTGAACTCATCCGGCCGAGTCAGCAACATGCTAGCCACCTCAGCATCTTGCGGGTCTTTGGGTTCTGGTGAACTCAGTAGACTTTGCAGACTGATCAGAGCGCTTTTGAGTGTGAGGACAGGTGACCAGGCGGTGCCTAGTGTATCGAGACAGATTGCTCCGGTTTGTGAGGAAACATTCGGGTGCCAGATTTTGGTGATGAAACGCATGGTCGGCGGCTTGAAAGGATATTCATTGCCGATTTTGATATCTACTTCGTATTTCCCGCCCTCATACGGTGTGTCTGGAGGTCCGACGAAGTGGCCCTTGAAGTGCGTAAGGTCGCCGTCCTGCGGGAAGGTCAGGCGAATACCGGCTTGCTTGTCGTTGGTGATGTCGTTGATCTCTTTTTGCACGCGGCGATTGCGGTTGGCGGCCATGCTGGGTGGGCAGCAGACGGTATCGTGACTCGTGTCGAGACTGCGATTGCAGAGTCGTGTGAGGTTTGAGGTCGAGTCTGGTTGCCTCTTGAGAGGCTCAGAAATGGCGAGTTCGGCGGGGAAAGAGGCGGAGGCGGAGGCGGGAAGGTGCACTCTTTAATCTGACTGAGGCAAGATGTCTCGGTGCGGTATTCACTGGCGAGATCGGGTGTTGCAGATCAGATCGGTCAGATCTGCGAAGATGTGTTGGAGTCTGGCGAAAGGGAGAGATGAAGATGGAAGTTGGTGGTTGTGGTGGAGCTGTGTCGAGGCGTGACTGATGAGCTCAGCAAAGCCAGGCACGCGCGTGCTTCGTCACGGTGCTCCAGCTTCCACCTCCAACCACAGCTCCATCATCATCATCACAACACCATCGCCATCCACTACCACCCTCCGCCAACACCTTCTCCGCCGTCCACACCGCCACTATCACCCTCACTGATACACACACCGTTACGGGAGTGACCGACAATGGTATGCGCCACCTGCACATGCAACAACTGATGAAACACCTGCTCACAGCGACGGTAGGGTCAGAACCAATCCGGCCTCGGTGGCCCCGGCGGACCTCCGGGTGACGGTGATAAGAAGAAGGGAGACAAGAAGGATAAGCCCAAGTACGAGCCGCCGCCACAGCCAACCACGCGCATCGGCCGCAAGAAGAAGAAGCAGGCCGGACCAAACGCCGCTGCCAAACTGCCCACCGTCTACCCGACCGCGCGATGCAAACTCCGATACCTGCGCATGCAACGCGTGCACGATCATCTACTGCTGGAGGAAGAGTTCGTCGAGAACCAAGAGCGGATACGGAAGGCGAAGACGGCAAACGAGAAGAGTGCTCCTGCCAGCGGCGAGGGCGAGGATAGAAACGCCGACGAGCGGAGTCGTGTCGATGATATGCGTGGCTCTCCGATGGGCGTCGGAAACTTGGAAGAGCTCATCGATGATGACCACGCCATTGTCTCCTCCGCCACCGGTCCCGAATACTACGTCTCCATCATGTCCTTTGTCGATAAGGATCTCCTCGAACCGGGCGCATCCATCCTGCTGCATCACAAGAGCGTGTCAGTTGTTGGTGTGCTCACAGACGATGCAGATCCCGCAGTCTCGGTGATGAAATTGGATAAGGCGCCTACAGAATCATACGCGGATATTGGAGGACTCGAGACACAGATCCAGGAAGTGCGAGAGGCCGTCGAGCTGCCTCTACTACATCCGGAGCTGTACGAAGAGATGGGTATCAAGCCACCGAAGGGTGTGATTCTGTACGGTGCGCCAGGAACAGGAAAGACGCTGCTCGCCAAAGCCGTCGCCAACCAAACATCTGCCACATTCCTGCGCATTGTCGGCTCAGAACTGATCCAGAAATACCTCGGAGACGGTCCTCGATTGGTGCGACAGCTTTTCCAAGTTGCGGCCGAGAACGCTCCCTCGATTGTCTTCATCGATGAAATCGACGCTATTGGAACGAAGCGATACGAGAGCACGAGTGGAGGAGAGCGTGAAATTCAGCGAACCATGCTGGAACTGCTGAATCAACTCGACGGTTTCGACGACCGAGGAGATGTCAAAGTCATCATGGCTACAAACAAGATTGAAACCCTCGATCCTGCGCTGATCCGTCCTGGCCGTATCGATCGTAAGATCTTGTTCGAGAACCCCGACCAGAACACCAAGAAGAAGATCTTCACGCTTCACACCGGCAAGATGAATCTGGCTGAAGATGTCGAGCTGGATGAGTTCATCAGCCAGAAGGACGATCTGAGCGGTGCGGATATCCGTGCCATTTGCTCCGAGGCTGGTCTCCTGGCGCTGAGAGAGCGGAGAATGAGAGTCAACATGGCTGATTTCCGTGCTGCAAGAGAGAGTGTGCTGAAGACCAAGACGGAGGGTGAGCCCGAAGGATTGTACTTGTAAGACATGTACGAATGAGCGAGAAGCATTGGAGAGAGCGGGATACAGATTCGAGGTGCTTCGCTTTGCATGATTGAGTGCAGGGCTCTGCAAACAGTCGTTCAATACTGTATTATCATGACCAGGAACGTGTCGCATGCTTCTACTATTTCTTGATCCTTGTCTGTTTTGCTGGCTAATATGGGCAGTGCATCGACCAATGAGGAGCGAGCACCAGTCTCCTGGAACCAACCACATCTTGTCGTGCTTCATCGAACTCCATCAACTACAACAATGCTCTTGGGCCATGGCATCGCGCTTGATCACGCATGGCCGATTATCGGGTCGATTGATACGTTGGAAACCGCTGACAAGGAGTACACAATTCGAAATCCATTGTGCTATTCGACGTTTCGCAGCTGCATCAGCGGCACAGCATCAACACGAACACGACCTTTTCAATTATACATCGGGAAGATGGCTGTTCGTTGACACGATTTTGCGAGCGTGCCTCATACTGACTGTAGCTCAGATACAACGAAAAGCAGAGACTTGCCGAAAGACACCTAAAATTCAACATTCCCGCTCTTCTCGAAGCAGCAGCCAAATCCATCGATCGATCGAAAAAAGACATCAAGTCGTTCCGCAAATTGGCAGAAGGCGGCTTTAATCGAGTGTTTGAAGTGACTATGAAAGATGGCTTTCAGGTCATCGCCCGTCTTCCGTATCCTTCCACTCAGCCAAGGCTACTGGCGACTGCGAGTGAAGTGGCGACTATGGATCTTGTTCGGAAGTATGGTGTGCCGACGCCAATGGTGTATGGGTATTCTACTGATGCGAAGAATGAGGTTGGTTCGGAGTATATTTTGATGGAGAGGGCGACTGGGCGGTGTTTAGGTGAGGTTTGGTATGAGATTTCTGATAAGGAAAGGGTTAAAGTTTTGGGAGAGATTGTGAAGCAGGAGGCGAAGATGTTTGAGATTGGATTTCCTGCGTTTGGAAGTGTTTTTGGTGCAGCTGATCTGCCTGAGCATATTGGTCGTGTTGAAGTGGGGACGGAGGCTGGAGGATTCTGCGTTGGTCCTGATGTATCGCTCAAGAACTGGTTTGGGACGCGGAGTCAACTTGGCATGCCGAGAGGTCCAGGTGAGGTAGCGGTTGTCCCACAATCCACGAGACAGAGAGCTGACCTCATGCTATAGCTTTGACTGCTCAGCAAGTCCTCGAAGATGGAGCTAGGAAAGAAATAGCGTGGTTGCGGGCACATGGCAAACCACGTTTGCCATTCGACAGAGGGTACCGTGAGATGTTCAGCTACGACAAAGTCGATCCAAGAGAGCACACTGCCAGTCTTGAGAAGTTTCTCAAAATTGCTGCATACATTGTGCCTGAAGAAGATTGGCTTGACAAACCTGTAATCCGCCATCCGGATCTCAACCCAAACAACATTTTCGTGGACGACAACTTCAACATCACAAGCATCATAGACTGGCAGCACGCGACTATCTTGCCTTTATTCCTGCATGCTGGCATCCCAGTCGCTTTCCAGAATCACGGCGATCCGGATTCAGAAGAGCTGAAGAAGCCCGAGCTGCCCTCGAACCTCGACGAATTAGATGAGGACGACCGAAAGAAAGATCTTGAGCTCTATCGGCGGCGACATACGCATTTCTACTACGTTGGAGCTACCGCAACGATGTTGGATTTGCACTACAAGGCCATGGCTCATGACAGGGGACTCTTTCGGAAGAAAATGTACCAGCATGCTGTCGAGCCATGGGAGGGAAACAGTATCCTGTTGAAAGCCAATCTGGTTATGCTTTCGAAGGAATGGGATATGTTTGCGACGAGTTCAGGGTCTGAGGATAATGACCAAAAAGAGATTTCAACGTGTCCGATATCGTTCGACGAACAAGATGCCGAAGAAACTATTGGAAAGATGATAGAGCAAGAAGACATCGACAGGAAAATGCAAATACTACGAGACGTGATCGAGATCAGTACTGATGGCTGGGCATCACATCAGAGATATGATGATGCTGTGGCAGAGGCGAACCACATCAAAGTCCAAGCGCTGAGCTATGCTGAGAGTGAGCTTGGACGCAAGATGACGGACGACCATCGGCCTTTTGGTGATTTTGATGAGGAGGGGCAAAGCTGATGGAGAGATGGCAAAACAAGAAGAAGTGACGAAGATCACGCATTGCAGCTGCATTGTCAAGAGTTGGAGACTGCTGCCTGACTTGCCGGCAGTCCATCAACGTTGTATCGCAAGGACTGGAAACATAGTGCTCTCCTCCCTCGGACTCGGTTCCAGAGATCGGACCGACTGCACATCATCACGTAAACACAACTCTTTGGGTTGTTTGCCACGACAAAGCCTCGCGAATATCACAATTATTGCCACAAGAGCAACAATGAACACGCAAATGAGTGCAGCAACCACAGTATCCGACACATAACTTCAGCAGCGCGAGCGATCAAGGACGTTCCAGAAACACTCAACCTACTCATATGACAATCACTATATACTCCCTAGCAACATACGATATACAATAATTTGACGAACAAAATCAAGAAGGAGTAATCTTCGCTCGGCTGGAACACTGCCAAAGCCCAAGTACATGTCGCCGCTGGCAGACAAGGACTCCAAGGATATATTGGAGGTTAAGCACTACATCATGAACTCCTCCATCGTTGTTTACTTGCTAATCCTCCTTCGCTATAGTCACCTACTGCACGCCTAGATACCAGCTACGCCGCAACAGTCAATGGCTCCTGGGAGAGAAGCCGCTCGGCTCGAAAGTCAACTGAGCCAAATTACTCTCTCGCGCCCCAAATTACAACTAAGCAGGTACTGCGCAAGCCGTGTCCGGTCTCTCCAGTTCTATAAAACTACCAAAGGACTACATTCGGCTGGAGATCGAGAAGATTGCCCAATCAATTGTCCGCCAGAGCAGCATTGCTGCATCACGTCAAGAAGCAACACGGAACGCAGCACCTATACTCTATTGATGGTTTTGATCTTTGTTTATACCACAACATTCAAGCTATGTCCAAGATCTGCTGGCATTCCATCCCGTATGCCACCATAGCGAACAGAATGGTGTACTTCGAAAGGGCAATACGGCCGTGCAGAAACGTCGCCAAGCGTTCCACTTCTTCATCTTTCACATCGACTTCGAGATTCGCTCAATCTGAGAGGCGCGGCCTTTCCGTTCCCAGCTAGACCACAGATGACCTGGTCAAGTTGGCCATCTGCAACCCGTATGTCTCAACCTTGCTCGATGCCACAACCACGAAATCTGGAAGCCAACGATGGCAGCAAGCGCAGGCTTTCCGCTGTGAGAGAGTAGCCATCCGCCAGGCGAGTACTCCGGCCGCCGAACGGAGCTGATGGACACTCAGCAGTCCAGCAGCAGCCTAGAGCGGAGGCCAGCGAAGACATAGGCTCAACAGGTGCGGAAAGCACAAGGGTCGACAAGGGAAATGGGAACAAGAACTCAGGAGCCCTTCGAGTTCCGGCAAATGAGAGTGGCGCAATGCGTATGCTGCTTTGCCTGCCACGGTGCGACGTTCAAGTAGACAACCTTCGGATGGAGCCTGGACGATGGGAAATACCAGTGCACTCGTTACTGACCGACAAGGCATGCTTGGCATCGCGTCCCAATTTTCTCTCAACTTTAAGGACCGCAGAACTGGTAGTGTGGGTCAAAAAGGACCGTAATGCCGAACTAATGCTGGCAGGCGGGCGCACCGGCCAGCCCAGTCTATAAACGCCCTTCAAGGTGCCGAGCAGCTCGAGTCTCTGTCGCTCGAGATGCTGAAATGCGGCGAAGATCTGCCGTAAGAGCAGATCGAGGAGATTACCATTCGCGGATTCGAAAATTGCGACATATTGTGGACATTCGATGATCTCCTGCTGCTGGAGCCGAAGGCGTTGTCTCTTATTGAAGGAGCTGTACACTTCCACGAACTCATGAGCTTTGTCCATCGACAGAGCTCGTGGCACGTGTCTCTTCGCTGCAACCTCAGCTCAATGACTCCACGGTGCGTGCAAGTCAACGTGCTACACTACCTTCACAAGCACGTCTCGGCAGCATATCAGGCTCGCGTGTCATCCCAGACAGTGAAGATGATACGGATGAAGATGAATCTGCCTTTGCTCGTCAATCGATGTTTCCGCAACACGACTCACACACTTCCTACCATGAGAAGAAGGAGTCGTGGGATATGATTCTATTCGACGACACCACTGTACATGGATTCGGCCTGTCTCCACCAAGGCTTACTCTACACTTCCTGACGACAAACACAGCGTACGTTCCCAACAGGACGACCTCATTCGTTGCTTTCAGCATCAACACCAAGGAAGCTCATAATGGTTTGAGAGTACTGGTGTATACGATCTCTGTGCTTGTTCACCTGTCACGCATGTAGGTGAATGGGGAGTGAACGAGGAGCGGGCCGTGGGCGTGGGCGTGCAAAAGATATATATTCATTTCGGCGAATCTCTCGTTGAGGTCCACGACACCAGGATAGTTGCTTGTCCCAATCGTAGTAGACGCCCTACCACTCTTCATCTCCTTCTTTGTCGTTGCGGCCTCCTGACCAGGCTCATTACGATTGTCCAGCAAGATGGCATCAGCGGTCGATCGAGTCTTCGGCACACCCGAGCTTCTGGAGCAGATCTTGCTATACGTCGCTGACCTGGATCTCAATGTTCCATCGACTCCAGATCAGGCCTTGATCTATTTCGTTACGTCAACTATCAGTCTTCAGCGGGTGGATCAAACATTCCGCAACACGATTCTCGGCTCGACAAAACTACGCAGAAGGCAACTCGAGGCTGCTGAGAAACCAGGCGTGGAGCGATACTTCGAGCCCTTCCACGCTTCGCACAATGCAACCCAGATGGACATTGATCCTGCCATCTTTGGTCCACTGTTGTGGCTCGAAGAGCAGATGATCTTCATCTTGCGTTTCCGTGGAGTGGCAAGAGCACACGATGGGGTCTTGACAATTGCATTCCACATCCTCTTCAAAGATAAGATGATGGCGTGGTTGGAGGAAACAAAAGAGCAGTCGTGGCGCCAGGTAAGGTGTCTGACGAGTGCCTTGAACGTGCCAGGTCTGAGATTGGAGGCCAAATGTGACACACGCTGGAGGTCGGGTAAGATCGCGAGGATATTGGACCTGGAGAGTACTGCGACTTTGGGCCAAGTGGCAAACATCCTGGAAGATTGTGCCTGAGCTTAGGATCCAAGGGCCTCCTGAATTACGACTCCTTCAGCCAGTAGCAGGTCGAATTATTCTCTCCATCGTGCACCTTCCACAGCGCGAGCTCTCTCATCCTTGGAACGAAAAGACGACATTCCGGCAACGAAAGATATCGAGCTTCCGAACAGGAGCGACTCTTCACCGTTGTGCAAGCCATGCGAGGCCAAATGGAGCACCACCCGTCGTTCAAGTACCACGGATGTCGCAAGCTTATGGGAGCCTTGGGCATCTTCTTGAAGGTTTTGGCTGAGTACGAGCTGTCCGACATCGCGGAAGCGATTAATGCCAAGAAGGTAGCCGTCGGCAAGCGCGCGATCAAAAAGAACTCCTACACCAAGCGTAAGTCTGCCGCTCTAACTGCTAAGGCCGCGGCAGATCCTGCTCGTAATGGCACAGAGCTCAATATGTACGAGGCCCTCGTAGCTTTAGACGTCGCCGCCGGTAAGAGCCTAGAAGTCGCACAAGCTTCTCGCAAGCAGAAGTCGACTGGGAATAGGAGTAGGACCTACGGCACTGGGAAGCGACCAGCTTCAAATGAGGGAGCCTCGGAATAGCCAAAGCGGAAGCGCTTAACGCAAGACACGTCCGCTAAGCAGGAGGAGGAGGTTGCGAGCAGATCTGCGAAGAGAGTCAACCGCCCGCATCGTAACACCCACGAACACGCCAACCAAGTTCTACCATTTAGTGTTGCGGAAGGTCTCCGCTTCGAGCCCAGTATGCAGTCGTTGTTAGTAAAAATACAGCCGTACTCCCTTTATCCCTCGATGTGTCTTGCGCCTGACTTCACGTTGATATGAAAACCCCTCTCAGTAGAGCAGGGCTACGATATCCAGTCTCACCATTCACTCGTCGTTCCCACAGGTGAATAGTGAATGGAGGTTCGGGCGGCAGGTGCGTGGTTGATATAATATCCCTCAACTCAGTTCAGACTTTCATCGAGACACAACGTTCCCGCTCGCTGGTTTGAAGTCAAGAGACCGGACTTCGCCTCACATTTGCTTGATCAACCAGCAACCGGTAGCTCTCGATCCGAGCAAACGATGTCGTCTGCTGTGGCTCGAGTCTTCGCTACGGCCGAACTCCTCGAAACTATCCTGACGGAAGTGGCCGATCTCGAGCTCTCACCAGCAGCAACAGAACACGATGGCTTTCTTATCAAAGCTCCGTTCGTCAAGTCAGTTATAGGACTCCAGTGTGTCAGCCACCACTCCAACAACACCATCCGCGGCTCGAGCAAGCTTCTCAAGAGGCGACTCGAAGCCGCTAAGATTCCCGGAATGCTACTCACCCGCATCGACTTCCAACTCTTCGGACCAATGGTCTGGCTCACGCTCCAACATCATCTGCAGCTGAGCTTGATCGGCGTAGCATACACGGACGCGCAGGTGGCTACTGTTACTTTCCGCATGAATATGGACAATTTTGCCGAGGAGTGGCTGTCACGCCGACTTGAGCAGTCGTGGCGCGGTATCCCGTGTCTGACTGACCCGTCACGGGTTTCTGCTCTGCAATTGAAAGTACTCGTGTCTGGATTCGTGTCGAAGATGGTTGGCCCTTTCGATATGGAGACTAGCGCAACTCTGGGCGATCTGGTCCAAATGCTCCTCAAGATCTTCACCGCTGAGAAGCCCAGACTCTCACGAGACGCTCACCAGGCTCAGATCTTCGAGACTTTGTATCCTGTCTGAATGGTCATTGGCGAAGAAGGAGATGGTTGATGTTGTGGTGGCGAGGACGAAGTAGGAGAACTGTGGTGGCTCGTTGAGGGAACGTACTTGGTGGTTTGAAAGATGAAGGAGATAACTGCGCCTGGCGCGCGCCTGAGCATACCTGCTTGGCATCAGAGATGAGCATTGGTCGTAAACACAGCTCTGTGGTTGCTATGGCGAGGCCCAAGAGTATAGATAGTCCCAGCCTCCTTAAGGATCGAGTTGGGCAACTTTCTAACGAATCTCAGGCTCAAGCACTTCAGTATCCGTTTTGTTGCGCGCGTTGCTTGGCGGTCCGTTTGTACTGTGATGAGATGAGGTCTGCTAAGATCTTGATGGAATTTCTGGCGAACTGATACAACAAGTTATCAGTCTCTAAGTGGGCGAGCTGTTGTCGATGCATGTTATTGCCTGGAATGATAGTGAGGTCCTAGACCATTGTCATCGTTGTGTGGTTGTCTAGAACGGTCCTGTCCCGGATTGTACTAAGTATACTTGTATGCCACCTCAGTAGGATGAGCTGGATGTCTGGAGATGCTTCTCGACACCTCATTAGCTGTGGTTAGCTGAATCCATTGGTCGTTCAGAAATCTGCACGGGGCCTCCTTTTGCGGAAAGTATGTACTTCAGTCAGCCCTGTGCGAGCTCGCGAATCCTGCCGTGATCGGCACAGCATATCGCCTCCTGTAACAGCCTAAACATGATCGGCGAAGCCTTATACGGCGATGGCGCTAGTTGGGTCCGTAAGTGAAGAAGTTCACGATCATGTGAAGTCCACGGCCCATGTCCATTTGAGATGCCGTGACGTCAGTGCTCGCTTCCCGAACTTTAACGCCGATGAACTAACAAACTACACCGAGGTGATCAGCAACAAAGATACAAACAAACGCGAGTTTCGGTCTAGAAGGACAGGTTTCAGTATCAATGTCAGCGGGACGAGCATGCAGAGATCATCCAGGCTGAGATCATCTGCTAGCGCTCTCGTGACAAGACGAGGTAGGACGTATTGATAATGCTGCTCACTCTAGGCTCGAGAGGAATCACCTCCGGTCTCTACCAATTTTCACCAACATAGTCCGATGAGTTGGCATTCTCTGTCTTATACACCTCCACCATGCCCGCGACACTCACTCCACCGCCTACGCCGGCAGCGAAACAGACCGAAGAGGAAATAGCCGCAGAACTGGAACGGCTATCAAGAATCGGAATTGAGACACTCAACAGACGAGATTGGGGATACACAAGTTCAGAAGCTCAGGAGTTTCTGAGCCATATCGATCCAGAACACTGGCAGTCAAAGTTCGACAATCAGCCTGGACTCTTGACCTGGCATGAGCAGAATATTGTCTGGCGTCAGCTGGTGGAAGAATTACACCCGGACTGCCACTTTGCGATTACGCACATGTCCTCTGCAGTACACGAGAAAGAGAGCATGGCGATTGTGTGGGTACAGACCAAGGTCACGGGGATTGAGAACGTCAATATACAAGGGCTCAGTGAGCTGAGGTGGAGGCTGGAGAATGGCAAATGGTGGTTCTTCTACCATGTTGGGATACGTGGATTTCTGGGGCAGAGTGGCTTTGTCTGAGCTGGATACTCTTGAGATGCGCATCTCCCCGTGCCCTTCTTTGGCACAGGGACGACTGAGGCTATTTGACCATGGCTTGAGGGACAGCTCTTCTACCACAGGGCAGTAAGGACCACGCATCACGCGATGGCTTTCATGCCACGCAGAGGACGCGTGTAAGTTCTCCGACCTGCGTCAGACGCTAGGAAAGGAAGACAGCGAGCAACACAAGCCTACTATCGCTACAAAGCCGACCACCACGAGTGCATTGAGAGATTTCCAGTCGTGGACTTCGGCCAACGAGCGAACCCCTCGAGGTGGCACCAACATGATTTGCTCGGCTTATTGCTGACGAAGTCCAAGGGCAACCACTGCTTAACTCAATAACTCAAGAGGGTAGCCACACATTGTGGTCGCCCACATGTTCGCAAAACACGCGCTGCTGCAGTCCCTCTCGAAACCCCAGCTCATTGCGAGGGACTTTTGGAGCTCGGTTCCCGTATGCAATGGCACCATGTCTCGTACTGACCAAATCTGCCAGTAACAGAACTACAATATTCAATTACACACTTTACGCATATCTCAGCTTCTACATGGGCAACAAAGCACTCGTATGGCCTCGGCTGCACACCAAAAACGCACCCACTCTCATCTCGGGCGTATCTCGGCTTTCTCTGGAGGATCATCAAGCTGCACAGTTAGTCAGCAACCTTCGTGCCACTTCAGCTCGCATCCCTTTGTGGGGTCTTCACAATGCCTTTCATGATCTTTTGGCTATCCTGAAGAAGTCAAGGATATGCTGGTATGCCTTGCTGCGCTGGTCGCAGTGCCGCAGATTTCTTTTTGCTCAGCACAAGGGAGTTTCAGCACACCGAAGGCTTTCGGTGGCAAACTTGGTGATGCATCCGATCTAACAAACTTCGTGACGGTACGGCTTCATGATTACCAGCATGGACTTGACTGATAACTCCCAGCGTCCAGATATCAAAGCGCCTTCTTTCAATGTTACACAGCACAAGCCTGAGCGCGTTTCGCCTGGATACTGGTTCGTTGCGCCCTATGTCTCTCTTGTGAGAGAGTCCGTGGACGCACATTACTACCAGCCATGTCAAATTGGCCCCCTTATCTACGACGGAGCTGGAGAACTGGTATGGAGCGGTGCATGTTTGCTCGGAAATCAGAATGCAGTCGACTTTCGCCCCTTCCATGCTGATGGCAGGGATTATCTATCGATGATTTTATACTCACAAACGCCCAAAGCTATAGAGAGCAGCAAAGCCATTGTTGTTGATGATAGCCTGCAAGTGTCTTCAAGGTACGAGCCGGACTCCAACTCAGGCATGAGTCTCAACATGCACGAATTCAATGTCATCAACAACGGCAAGACAGTACTGCACCTGGCGAAACGATCCATCGAAAGGGATATCACGGGCGTGAAGCAATCGAGCACGTCTTCTCAGACAGGGCGTATTGTCGACAATGGCTTTGCGGAAGTGGATCTTGTGTCGAAGAAAGTCCTATTCGAATGGTGGGCGGCCGACCACGTCCCACTGACAGACAGCTCCGGAGTTGTGAGCGGACTCACACAAAAGGCACCGCAAGGCTGGAACTGGATCCACATGAACAGTGTCGACAAGAACGAAGAAGGCGACTACGTGGTCTGCGCACGATACACAGATGCGATCTATAAGATCTCCGGCAAAGATAGTCGTATACTCTGGACTCTCGGTGGTCGGTCATCTTCTTTCAAGATTCCGCCTGATCTCGACTTTTCCCGTCAACACGATGCTCGATTCATCAGCTCCAGTGGTACCGAGGAAGTGATATCCTTTTTGAACAACGGAGGTGACGACCACGGCTCAACATCCTCCGCCTCCTCTGGCCTTCTGGTGTCTCTCAACACTGCTTCTATGACCGCCAGCATCATCAACCGATGGCCACGTCCAAGCGGCGAAATCACCAAACAGCGCGGCAACTTCCAAGTTCTGCCGAATGGCAATGTCTTTGCCGGGTGGAGCGATAACTCTCATATCAGCGAGCATTCTCCTCAGAGCGAACTGTTGATGGAAGCAAGGTGGGCAAACGAGAGGTTCGCCACATATCGTGCTTGGAAAGCCAATTTCACGAGCATGCCTGCGGAGCCTCCCACTTTGAAGGCTTTTGTCTTCGGAACGAGGAGAGAAGACGCGATTCTGGCAGCCTACGTCAGCTGGAATGGAGCGACAGAGGTGGATAACTGGAGGTTCTATGGTATTGGAAGAGATGGACAAACACGGATCCTAGGACGAATGCAGAAGACTGGCTTCGAGACTTTGTTTCAGATGAAAGGCTGTGCGGCTGAGGTGTATGCTGAAGCCATTTCCAGAGATGGGCGGGTGCTGGCCAAATCCGCTGCCGTGCCTACACTGGACGCGGACTCTATCTGCTCTGTCGACCGAGGGCAATCTGAGGATATACTTACACACTTCGAGCTGCCACGCACTTCCTATCTGAATGCTACCAGCCTATTTTGGATTGCGTGCATTACTGCGGTCCTTGCTTATGCCTGGCGGACTATGCGCCGGTGGAAGAGGTGATGATCACGAATCGTGGACAGACATGACTCGAAGTGGGCCTGGTGAATGAGCACTAGCTCGGCTTGAGCGCAGATATGTTGTAACTGCAGCTTTCACGCTCACTTCTGCGATCACCACTCGCCATTACAAAGCACATCAAAGCTCTCTTTCGCTCTACCCACCACACAGGCTACTACCATTACCCATTCGAGACCGTCTCCAGATTGTTCCAAGATGTCTGGAGTCACAAACATTCAGAACTCATCCGCCGTCGCCAGAGTCTTTGGGACGCCAGAGCTACTTGAGATGATTCTACTAGAGGTGGCCCATTCCGATATCGAATTTGCTAAGAAGAATTCCAAGACTCGAAGCATGTACAACTGGCGCGGCACGGTGTCGAATGGCACGCTTGAGGTCTCACATCACCTAACTTCACACTTCATGTGGACTCCAATCATCCTTCAAGCCGTATCTCGCTGCTTTCAAGACACTATTAATGGTTCTTCGCGACTTCTCCGTCTCCGATTGAGAGCTATACCGCGTCATGTACCCTGGGAACCCGACCCTTTCAAAATTGGCGACAATCGAGGTCCAATACACTGGCTTGAGCGGAAGCTGGGTGTTTACGCTCCGGATTGGTCAAGAATCAACAACGGTGTGCTAGGACTTCACGTCAAGGTCTCGGGCTACCACGAAAAGCAGCGTGTCAAGCTGCATAACGACAAGCAAGGCTCCTGGCGTACGATTCCGTGCATTGAGAAGCCAGGTGTCGTCTCGAAGGTTGTCGTCCACTTGTACAAGGTGTACTCGAAGCAAATACCGCCACATCGTCGTGTGGGTCGTGGAGCAGCTTACGCGTACTACCGCAGAACTTTGTGCAGCTGCGACATTGGTCCTAGACCGACTTTAGGCGAGATCTTCGATGTTATCGACGCTGCGGAGTCTCTCTATTGCTCCTTTCCGCTAATTTGCAAAGAGGGTGGCGCAAAATGTCAGTGTTAGAGCCGTCAAGAGTCATGGGAACTCTGTCAGAGGCAGAAGTACGAACGTGCGTGAGCAACGGCTGAAGCGACAAAGTGGCTGGGCTCTGAGTTCCACGATACACATACAGGACTGAGATCATCACCAGCTTGCAGATAGAACGCTCTTGCAGAACCGGCAATAATGGCACGCCTTTCAGCCTGCTTGCGATAGACAGTCGAGCATTTGAATAATCAACATTAGTGTGCAGAGACAATCGTCTCAGAGAAATGACAATACTGGTACGCTTTTTAGTCAGCTCGCGATACGAAGTCGGACGTTTGAATCATCAACGTCTGCTGTGCTCGCCTCTGGCTCAAGCGGTCATGGTTATATGGAAGTGAATGAGTGAATAGTAACAGTCACTACTCGAACTGGGGCGGTAGTGAATGGCATGTTAGTGTAAGGTCAGGAATACTTCCACTCGATCACTTCTACTGCTACCCAAACACAAGACATCTGATTGCACGACCAGACAGCTCAACAACTTCGACATCTCGACAAGCCAGTTCAACAGCTTCGATGTCTCGACAAGCTAAGTCAAAAATGTCTGAAATTCTCGACGTGCAGTGCTCGGTCGCCGCACTTCGCGTTTTCGAGACACCAGAGCTACTCGGGCTTATCCTGGTTGAAGTGGCAGAATGGGAAGTCGACCTCGAGAGTCAGTGCACCAGCAAGACCACGGACCCTAGAACGTACGGACCTGCCCACCGCTCGTTCTGCTATCTCCCAGAGCCCCATTTCGCTTTCTCGCCCATCGTCCTCCGCCGCGTCAATCGCACATTCAGAGACACCATAGACCGCTCCCCAAAGCTTCGCAAATTGTCGCTGAAAGCCTTGCCGCGGCAATTAGCCCCACGCCGAGTACGTCCTCGCCTAAGCTGCGATCATTTCGGTCCTCTGCACTGGCTAGAATGGAAAGCAGGCTTGGAGTTCGTTTGGAACAGCAAGGTTCAAAATGGCGTTCTTCAGATACGCGCCACGATCGCTGGGGGCAACGAGCATGAACGCTACAAGCTACGCAAAGACCTCAAGGGATCGTGGCGCAAGTTGCCATGCATACCATTCTCGCAGGCCGCATCCAAGCTTGTTCTCCAGCTGGTGAGAAGCGCAAAGTACCGTTCTTTTATATGGAGACCGAATCGTCTTGTGATGTATTCCGAGTATGATCTGCGCACCTGCGACCTTGGTCCTGAACCGAAGTTGGGCCTGCTGTTCGATATCATCGATGCGGCTGAGGTCAGCATGGCTATCGAGAACAAAAACTTTTGAGCTGTTGCAGGAAGACCACGAGCGGTAGTGGCGAAGAGTATTAGAGGTACGAGCATGTGCACGAACACGCTTGGGAGGGGTGGCAGAAGCAACATCGGCGAAGACGAGAAGTCCGGCTTGGTGGTGCGAAATACGAAGGCAAGTAGTCATGATGGTAGCCCGGCTCGCGGGCACAGTGGTTGCAGAGAAGAGGCAGGCATAAAGCGAGAACGGCAGAGCGTGTGTCCTCCGGTCTACCTTACGGCATCATACTTCTCGTGCATTGCCTCAATGTGAAGCTCAGCGTTTTCAGTCGATGGAGTTGTCACGTGGAGTGAATGATGGAGATCGTAGTCACCGGCCAAGGTAACCAGAGGTGAATGGGCACTGGTGAACCGGAGCGCCTATAGTACAAGTATAATTTTCCTCGGTACTCTCTTTCAATTCTTGACTCAACTTGATTGGTTCCTCTGCACAGTCTCAGGTCTTAATTCAGCCACCCTGAAATCAGCTAACAGACTGGCTCGAAAATGTCTACCATCCATCTCGAACACTCAGTGTCCGACCGCCGTCGTTCGCGTGTTCAAGACGCCGGAGCTGCTCGAGCTCGTACTTGTTGAGGTCGCGGAATCCGAAGTCGATGTCGCTCAGAATCCCTTCAGGTACGACGGAACTCCACGCACCTGGTACAATGGCGGCGACGATCCAAAGTTCATTCTGTCACCAACGAGACTCCGCGCTGTCAATCGCGACTTTCGAGACACTATCGAAGGCTCATCAAAGCTTCTGCGTCTCCAGCTGAAAGCGTTATTCCGTCAACATGACTGCAGCATCCATCCCGACTTCAATGGCGATCGGTCCGGCCGTTTACACTGGCTGGAGCACATGGGCGGCTTTGATCTCTTACGGCATGGCAAGATTGAGGATGGTGTGTTCTCCTTCAACGCGTTTGCATTTGGAGGCAACGAAGATCGCCGCAGTAAGCTACGCAAAGACTTCCGAGGTTCCTGGCGCAAGCTGCCATGTCTACCGTACGCGAAGGCAAGCGGCGTGACGAAGATTGTCCTCCATTTGGGGACGAATAACTGTATGCTCGATCAGAAGACGCCAGATGGTCGAACGTCCTACGAAGATATTGAGCTACAGACTTACGACTTCGACACTAACGTGACTTTGGGTGTACTTTTCGCCGTCATTGATGCGGCTGAGCTTGGGCTCGCCATGGTGTCACCATTGCTGCAGGAGGAACATGAGCGGGAGTGGTCTGGGAGGGTGTCAGAGTCATGGGCAGAGTCTTGAAGGTGAACCAGAGATGGCAGAAGCGCTGACAGAGGGGACAAGTGTTCCAGGTCTGCGGCCCACAGTGCATGCGTTCGTAGTCAAGAGCGAGATTTGGCACGACTGTGATGGAGAAGAGGCAGTGATGATACATCTGTCCTCAGCGTGCTATGCAGCATTAGACAAGAGAGCAGATCAGTTATTCAATGGCTATCTATGTTCCACTGTACGAATTCCCAATTCTCGTGTTGGCCTTTTCTGGCATGCGTCCACACTGTCATTGCGTGCTTTGCTGTCTATTCATCTGACTTTATAGACGTGTCTCGACTGCATTCTGCCATACCACTGCAATTTGCTACGAGCTGCTTTGCGAATTTTGATGTCCTATTCCTGGTCCTTTGAACTGTCGCTTGCCTCGTTCGCAGCTGCTTGAAGCGGACATTACGTGAAGTGTGTGTCGCGAGGAGCGCCAAGCTTGGGGTGGGGCACAAGTGAATGAATGGTGCTCATGGCCTCTGGCTTTCGTCTTCTGCCTACTTGACGTTGTCCACTGTTTCGTCGCCGCACAATGACCATCATGGCAGACGCATCGTACCCTCGTCACAGTCCGGGCAAGATGTCCGTCGCAGCAGATGCAGAGTACGCGGTCGCCGCCACCAAAGTCTTTGGAATTCCGGAGCTTCTCGAACTCATCCTGATCGATGTGGCGCGCTCCGAAATCGACTTCCAATCCGGCCCTACTTTCATCCAGTCGCCTTTCGTTCTCCGCGCCGTCAATCGCGACTTCCAAAACACCATCGATGGTTCCGCAAGACTTCTGAGCCTTCGGTTCGATACCCAGCACGACGATCCGACCTGGGCTGAAGGCTATGTAAGTGGTCCAGAGTTCGGACCTCTTTTCTGGCTCGAGACCATGACCGGCCTCGACTGTAACTTCTTCTCTGAGGTGGAGGACGGGGTACTGCACATTCGCTTGCTGTTCCACGCTATTGACCACATTCCGGCGATGAAGATACGCGCTGCTAGAGAGTCGAAGCGAATGAAGCTCCGGAAAGACCTCCAAGGCTCCTGGCGTAAGACGCCATGCGTGCCAAAGCGCAAGGACGTCTCCAGGGTCATGCTCCACTTCAAGTGCTCGGCAAAGACGGAGGACAACATCTCTTATTTCGCTATCTGCAACCCTGTGATCTTGGGCCGGCGCCGACGCTGGGATTGCTTTTGGATATGATGGATGCTGGGGAAACAGCAGCACACATCTTTAGCAAATCTGGAGGAGACTTTGCAGACCTGTGAAGAAGTTGACATAGGAGATCAGACAAAGGGGCGAAGGGGCACGAAGTTTGGCAGGGAGAAGCGATGGAGGAGATAACAGTCTTGGCCTGCATTCCGAGTTGGAAGTACGCATCGCTCAGACTGAGCTGCTAGACAGTATAGTGGCATCTGAGCAGGACGAGATGAAATGACAAGATTGAAATGATAGACCTGTGTGTTTACCCTAGCTCTCTGCAAAGCATCACCCTATGGAGCGTCGAACAATCGAAACAGCTGAACCTATGTCTTGCTCTCTCATGGTCCACTTCGTTCCCTCGTGGTCCCATCGTTCGCATTAGACTACAGGGCATTACCCCGATCTCAGCATGTCCTCTGCCTGGGATTATGGCTGACAGTGAGGAGTTATCGGTCAAGTGGATCGGAGTGAACGAGCACTGCTGTGCTCCGTTTTGCGCGTCACTTTTTCCACTACCACCACAGACAGTCAATCTCCACCATCAAGTGGCCTCATAGCAACAGGAACCTGCAGCTATTACCTCAAGCCGCCTATCTAAATGGCCACCTAAACCATCTCGACGGCACCGCGCTCCGAAGCCGCGACTCGAGTCTTTGGCACTCCGGAGATGCTCGAAATGATCCTGCTCGAGGTCGCACATTCTGAGGTCGAGTCTCCAGCAACTTGCGACAACTACGACACCGATGATTGGCAATTTGTCTGGTCCCCTATCTGACTCCGCGCTGTCAATCGCGATTTCCGAAACACTATCGATGGCTCTGCAAAGCTCCTTCGCCTGCAACTGAAGTCTCTTCCTCCTGAATATGCACATTCTTCCCGCAAATGCATTAGCGGCGAAGACATTAGTCCTCTTGACTGGCTCAGATGGTCCTCCGGTCCCCATTTCAATTTACATGCAAAGATCAACAACGAAGTATTAGAGCTTCGTGCCCTTATCAGTGGCAAGCCCAAAAGCCAGCGACTTGTGCTTAGGCAAGATGTGGAAGGCTCTTGGCGCAAAATGGCATGCATCCGTGATTCTAAGCTCATCTCAAGGGTTACGCTTGCTCTGATCGAATGCGAGAACTGGTCACAACATGATCACATACAAAGCTACGACCTCGGCCCTGCGCCAACATTGGGCATGGTGTTTGGCATGATCGATGCTGCGGAGGTCGCGATCGGTCTCAGTCTGCATTTCGTCTCCGCAAGAAGTCGTTGGTCATACATGGGACGAATAATGCCATGGAGCTGCGCAAGAATCAGTTGAACTCGGCTAAAATATCGACAGAGGAGACCGGATGTGCTGCGAGGGTTACATGATGAACAAGGAATCGATCCTGACTCCTTGTGGGTGGAGCGTAGGAGGCAGGGGGTTGCTGAGGCGAAGGCTACTGCAGGCAGTTGCTTTGTTGAAAACGCACGAATAAGGACGGGTCAACAGCAAGTCGGAAATGAGAATCACACCGCAAGTCTACGCTCCACATTCTCAGTGGCGACCGTAGACAAGATAAGAAGTTCCAGTGCATCGTAGTATTAACAAGTGTTGATTGTTCTCGAATCATTTTCTATGGTACTCTCATATAAGATTGCCCCAAATCGATTTTCGATGCACTGCTATGACTTGACATCTGTCAAACGATGATCTTCTACCCCGTGCACCTGGAAGGAATCGTCAGTAGTTTGACCAGAGCTCTCGCTCGTTTTGCCCGCTCTTGTTCTCCAATGATTCTTGGTCCTACATGTCAAAGCTACCCCTTTCGTCGTGACTCTGCTGCCAGCATGTTCTCTATGTCTCGACCCTGCTTGAATATGCAGTCGGATCGCCATGACGGAGTTTCATACATGAATACGTCTAAATGAATGCATCTCTCCGATTGGCCAAAGTTTGAAAGCAATGAATGGGCGTTCACGCATCGCTAGTGTCCGCTGTACAAAGTTCCAGTCTCGCTTTGCAACATCGTCACTACAACACCACTGCCACTCCCACCATCACGAACAGCGGAAACTTAATTTCTCGTCCTGCAAAGTGTCAGGCTCAAACCAAGATGTCCGCACTCCCAAGTGCACAGTACTCTGTCGCCGCCACTCGAGTCTTCGGAACGATGGAGCTCTTGGAGATGATTCTTTTGGAAGTTGCCCATGCCGAGATCAACCTCCCAGAAAGCACTCCGAGCGAGTCTAGGCCTCGCAATGTTTACATCCGGTCACCGATCATCCTTCGCGCCGTTAATCGCGACTTCCGCAACACGATCGACGGCTCGTCTCAACTTCTTCGGCTACGCCTCAAAGCCGTACCTCCTCAGGCTACTCAGGATTACTACGACTTGAGACCCGCACTGCATCCTGGAATCCTTGGCCCCCTCCACTGGCTAGGAGAACAGCATTACAGCTATGCTTTCATCAATGGATCCAACTTCCGCGACGGCGTTCTTCTGCTTCGTGCAATAGTCTATGACCCTGCTCGCTCACACCAGGAGGACAAGATGAGAGAGAACCCTAAAGCTTCTTGGCGCAAACTACCATGCTGGACCGACGGAAGACTTGTGTCAAGAGTTAATCTCGAGATGCATTACGTCTGGTACAGTGCGTGCCGCAGAAAGTCTGGCACTGTCAAGCTACCAACCCAGAACCTCGGACCAGCACCGACATTGGGAATGCTTTGTGACGCGATCCATGGTGCGAAGGTCGCTCTTCAGACGGAGAAACAAGCCGAAGATTGAAAAGATGGAGGTGGACAAGAAGAGTAGGAGCATGCGATAGAGAAGAAGAAAAGTAGGAGCACTATTGAAGAGCGCGGGGTCGGGGAAAGGCAATTCGACGATGTCTAGGAGGTGTTTCGCGACATTAGGGTTCGAGACTGGAGGAAGAGAGCTAAGGGCGGGAGGCTACGACAAGATAGCCGTCAGGGGGCATACTTCTGAATAAGGTATAGTTGTCGTGCGATCAACAGAGCTCCAGGATAGGAATGCCTTCTCAACCAGACATCCAAACGTTCCAGATTCGTCCAGTATGCCTCGCCGAATTCTTATTGCTAAGAGGTCATTGCCTTGTCCGAGCCCGTTCTGGTGACTGTTGTGCTCATCCTATAGCATCAGAAAATCGGGCAATTGACCAAATCATTAGCTTCTTCGGTTCTCTTTCTCGAGTTCGTTCTACTCGTGCAGTCTTGGTCTCATAATCTTCCGTCGTATCATCGTGCTCGTTATTGTGCTGGTTCAAGTTAAACATTGGGCTTTGACTTCATTTCACAACTTCGTTACAAGTCACCATTACCTCCTATCTCGGTGCTTGTGAGCTTCTGTAGGCTATCTGCAATCACTACAGTCTTCGTTTGACTCCCTGGGATGATGAGTGAGCTGGAAGGAACCTCAGCTGCATGCAGTGAATGGTGGAGTATCACAAGCACCGAGTGGGGCACAAGTGAATGGAGCCCTAGTGTGATGTCAGTGCACCCATCCACGTGGCGCGCTGGATATAGTCCGGGTTGTGTTTGATGAACTCTCTTCACTGTCTCATCCACACTCTTTGAGTAATATCAAGCCGCACGAAAGGCACGACACATCTCAACCAAGATGTCTGTCGCTCCAGACCCAGATTGCTCGGTTGCTCCAGACCCAGAGTGCTCGGCGGCGGCGGTGACTCGAGTCTTCGGAACTCCGGAGCTACTCGAAATGATTCTCATCAATGTCGCTCTTGGGGAGAACGATGTGGTAGAGGATACATTCTACACACTGACACCTTTTACTCTGCGCGCTGTCAATCGCGTCTTCCAACACACTATCGATGGGTCTGCAAAGCTTCAGCGCCTCCGACTTCCGCATGTGACTGGCCCATATCCGAACAACTCACTCTGGCCTGGCAAGTGGCCTTGGGCCGACTCCTTTGGTCCGCTTGGATGGATCGCGGAGATGACAGAGCTCGACTGCACCCACTTCTCCAAAGTCGAACAAGGCGTACTGCACATTCGCTTGCAGATCTATAGTGAGTTGGACGAAGATGAGGATATGCGATTAAAGCTACGCAGAGATCTCGTCGGCTCCTGGCGCAAGGTTCCCTGCGTGCCCAAGACACCAGACACGCCCGGCTGGGAGGTCGTCTCAAGAGTTATGCTGCACTTGGAACACGCGGAAGCAGAGCCACTAGACGACGTGGATCCCATTGTTCAAAGCTGCGATCTGGGTCCAGCGCCGACGGTGGGGCTGCTTTTCGACATAATGGACGCGGGGAAAAACGCGATCGACACCTTCTACAATTCCGGAGGAGACCCGGCAGACTTGGGGAGAACCTGGTAGTGAGGCAAGAATATCGCGATGAAGGATGAAGGAGTGCGAGAGGTGGCAGGAAGGAGCTGCAGAAGAAATAAGGATTTTGCCACTCGATCGGTCTACGAGTGTGTATGAGCAAGAACTGACTCTGCAAAGCATGCAGTGGCAGCTGGATACGGACCGAGAATGCCCACATTCCAGCACACGTTCTCGCATTGGCACACTAGGCGCAAGAGTGCGTCAGCATCGAGTTGAAAACGAATTCAAAGTCACATCTAAACTTTCAAGCTCGTAGTGCGTGTTGTGAATCTTGTCGGTTCCATTGCATAAGTGTTGTGAAGATGGCTTCGTTGTTCGTAGGCTAAGCTGTCTCAATTCTCATTTGCATTTTCCAAAATGTCCTGAACTCCTCGCTGGAATCTCATATCTGGCTTGTCATATTCTCGTGAACCCCACTCCTGGTGGTTAATGTATGCACGCTTACTCAGAATCCTCGCTTGCCTTGCCCTTGTTCTTCAACGCCGCCTCAATGATCTGCATAAACCTCGCCACATCCCCGAAGGTATTGTAAAGTGGCACAGGTGCCACTCGAATGCAGCCCGGCTTCCTCTTGTCGCAGATCACACCATTTTCCTCAAGAGCTGCGCTGACTTCCTCCATCAGCTCCTCCTTGAAAAGCACACTCAATTGTGTCCCCCGCTGACGTGGGTCGCTTGGTGTAATAATCTTGAAAGGCGCCTCTCCGCCCTCAGTCACGTTCCTCTTCGAAATGCCACCCAACAACTCCTCCGCATAAGCCGTCAAAAGCAGCGCTTTCCTCCTCAACTCCTTCATACTCGTCTTCTCATACACGCTCAGCGCAGCGCTCAAACAAGTCAAATCCACTACACTCGGGTTCGAAAGCTGGAAACCTCCTGCACCAGGCGTCGGAACAAACTGGTTGTTCATGAGGAAACGACTGCTCTTATCATGGCCATACCAACCCTTCAACGCCTTATTCTTCTTCGAATCACCATGTTTCTCGTGCACGAACACGCCGGCGATAGCACCAGCTCCGGCATTCATGTACTTGTACGTACACCAGCAAGCGAAATCGACATCCCAGTCGTGAAGCTGGAGTTCGACATTTCCTGCTGCGTGTGCGAGATCCCAGCCGATTGTGAGGCCATGCTTGTGTGCGTGCGCTGTAATAGTTGGGATATCGAGAAGTTGGCCAGAGTAGTATTGAATCCCGGGGAGAAGGATCAGGGCCAATTCGTCTTTGTGTTGAGTAATGAGATTGCAAATCTGTTCCGTCGACATATCATATTCTCCGTTCTTCTCGTTGTCAGGTCGAACGAGCAGCATTTCCTCCTTAGGATCCAAACCATGCCATTCGATCTGACTTTCGATCGCATACCAATCACTTGGGAAAGGTCGCCATTCGCACATGATTTTCGTCTTTTTCGCGGCCTTATCAGGTTTGTAGAATGCTGCCATCATCAAGTGGAGATTGACGGTCAATGTGTTCATGGCAACGACTTCTTGTGCATCTTTCGCGCCCACGATTGGGGCCATTTTTCTCGCACAATCGGCTGCCATATCTTGGTACGCAACAAGAGGTGAATCCTCGAAGTTTGTGAAATGACCTCCTACGGCGATTGAACCCCATGTCTTCAAGTATGCGGACATGTATTCTGAGACTGCTTTTGGTTGCAGACCGAGGGAGTTTCCGCAGAAGTAGATGGCCTCATCTTCTACGGAGGAAGCTGGTGCTGAAGTCTGGGCATCATCATGGAGAGTCTTGCGCTTGAGTTGTGATTTTGTGGGCACGACGAAGTCTTTGCGGAAGGTCTTGGGAATATCGTTGTGGTTGTCGAGGGACTCTGCGAACTCGAGAGTTGCTGCGTTTGACGGCCACGATGGTTTCTGGCCTTGTTGGAGGAGGCCGATCGCTGCGGTGGCGTCCATAGTGCTCGTCATCTGCTATAAGGTCTTGGCGTCGGAAGTGAGAAGTGATCTTTCTGTACGCTTATGGGATGTGGCTGTTTCAGATCGTTGTCAAGATGAGAAGTGAGATGAAGACAATAGCATGAAGAGACTTTACATCACTAAATAGCCATGCTTCTACCACGTTTTCTCATGCAGGAAGGTGGCATCCGATGACAGCTACGTCGCCCACCCGCCAAGCCGTCCGACAATGGAAGGTGACAAGCCCTTCTGCTCGCCTGCTTCCGATGTTCCGACGATGCTTCCGTTCCGCCACTCCAACCACATTTTGTCATCCCGGTGGCATTGGCAACAGTCAAGACGTGATCAGTTGCCGCAAACAAGTGGATACTCGCCGCATTCACCAGAATATAACCCTCAGAAAAGCCGCACAGTAGCCAAAATGGCTTCTTTGTTACTGAATAGACTTTCTGCTTTTGCATCCGTTGTTCAGCATTCGACAGATTTGGAGCGTCGGCCAGCATGAGTCCTTCAAAGATACCAGTTCTACCATCTCCAGAAGCGCTTGCATCTTACAACATCTCATCGAATGGTTTCTTGCCCGAGGAGACACCACTAGGTCGCCTTCCGCATGATTACTATCAGCCATGGGAGAGTTTAATCGCACAAGTCACGGAGCTCATCGAGCGGCAACAAATCCGAGCGGCGATTGATGCTCTACCGGTGCTCGATTCATCACACCTCTACACCGAAGCCGAATGGCAAAGAGCATACTCGCTCCTGGCGGTATTGGCGCAAGGTCACATCTGGGCAGGACCCGAACCTTCTGAGGTATGTCTAGAGGACAGCACCATCGGCGATGCCTGATCGTGTCGTCAGCATACTGACGGGAAACCTTCCAGCGCCTACCACCGCAAATCACAATTCCCTTCTTGCAGACCTCAGAACATCTCGAAGTCCACCCAATCGCCACATATGCCGCGTTGAATCTCTGGAACTGGCGGCCGCTCAATGCCTGCAGCGGAAGGACCATTGATCTGACAGAGCCAGACAACTTGATTGCTCTCCATACCGCAACAGGCACCGACGATGAGTCCTGGTTTCTCGTCATTTCCAATGCCATGGAAGCTCGCGCAGGACCTCTCATCCGAGCAATGTTGTCCGCGATCGAGGCTGTCGACCGCAATGACAACGCCACCATTATCGAGAGCCTGCAATACTTCAAGCAAAGTATGATCGACATCGGAAGACTTCTCGAGCGCATGGACGATCGATGCCGCCCACAAGTCTTCTATCACCACATTCGACCTTTCCTAGCTGGAAGTATGAACATGGAGACAGCTGGCCTGCCAAAGGGAGTCTTCTATGATGAGGGAGATGGCAAGGGATCTTGGAGAAAGTACAGAGGTGGAAGCAATGGCCAGAGCTCGTTGTTGCAGTTCTTCGATGCAGTGCTCTCTGTCAACCACGATCGAAGCGGTGGCTTTCACGAAGAGATGCGACGATACATGCCTGGTCCACATGCTCGGTTCCTGGATGACGTCGAGAAGATAGCGAACATTCGTCACTACGTCGATAATCTGGACGCATCTCGCGGCCACAGCGACGTGGTGCGGGCTTTCAATGAGGCAGTTGCGAGTCTGAGCGAGTTCCGGAACCTGCATATCAACCTGGTGACCAGGTACATCATCATCCCTAGTCGACAACCTAAGCCAGAGAGCTTGATCATTCGGAGGGATATTGCTTCGACTTCGACAAAGCTGGCTTCTGTTGATTCCACTACCAAAGACCTGGTCGGCACTGGAGGTACCAAGCTAATTCCATTCCTGCGAACGTCAAGAGACGAGACCAGCGAGACTGTAGTCGCGAGATGAAAATCCTGTTACTCTCCTCATGCTCAATACTCAGTGCTGTCATGCCTCGGCATGAGTACGCCGAGCAATCTAGCTCTGATCAGGAGCCAAGATCTCGCCCGATCAGAACAAGGACCGCTGCATTCCAGCGCATACGCAGCAGAGATCAGGGGAGCTCACGCTTCGTTCCTCACATGAAGCTCCCATTCATCTGATCATACATCGGAAAGAGCGGTATATCAGCCAGATTGCCGCCATCCAGGGTGTGTCGTCCCGGTTGCAGAAAGTCTTGAAGACCTTGGTCGTTCTCGTTGCTCATCCAAGGCATGGCAAAGAAGTCGGCATCGTAGATATTCCAGTCTGCTGGCACCGCAGTTCCAGCCTCGGTCGCCGAAGGAGCAGGCTGATCCGACATTATGATAGAGCCAGAAGACTGAGGTAGGGATTGCTCAACAGTTGCTGCAGAAACGGAGGCAGCAGTATTTGAATTTTCATGATCGTGCCGTACCTCTGACTCTCGAATATCCGTGTTCTCTGTCGATGGCAGTAGTCCGAACAACTGTGATGAAGCTTGTTTTCTCTGACTTCGGAGATGGAGTTCGCGTTTCTTAATGTGGGCAGTGGTGGTCTTCAATAAAGCTTGTGAGATCAGGGAGTACTGCCTCGCATGTGGGTCGACGCTTGCGAAGTAGTCGAGGCAGGCGATTGATGCTTTGCAATGGTCCTCGAATATCAGGCCAGACCGGCCCAAGATCCCCACTGCAAGCACGAGTGAGGTAGTGAACAGCCACGATCTGAGTCACGTTAGCATGAGTATACTTCCAACAAAAATGGTAATCCACTCACACTACTAATGGCATCCTTCGTGGCATAGAGTCGGTACTGAGGACGGTTTGCAAAGTCTCCACGAAGGAAGTAGCTGCGTCCAAAGCGGCATCCGCATACTTCTGCTTCTCTTGGTGCTCTTTGTGTGTCCCAGGTGCTTTTAGTGATGCGCCCATGTATTCGTACAGCTCGTAGATCAGAAAAGGTCTCGTCAGTAACATTATGCCATAGTAGTACGAGCACAACGTCGAGCATGCGCCGACCACTGCTTCTCGAGATGCATGCTTGGTGATCTTATCCGAGAGAGGCCGCAGCCAGGTTGATGCCCATGACTTGAGCTGATGCGACACATAGCCTGCGATACGCAATGAGATCCGTTTGCGAGAGTAGACTTCGACGACAACACGCTCGATAATCATGAATATCTGCACACTGGCATCGATGACATGCGACGATTCTCCGAAAGGTACCTCGGCAACGCCGTGCTTGCCATATTTGACAGTGCAGTCAACATCCGAAGTAGAAGGCGGACGGCCAAGTAGATTGCTGATAAGCATGTCTACTACCCTCAGACTCTTCCAGATCCGATCGCGCGTTGCACGAACAGCTTCGCCGAAAGAGGCGTTGACTTCTGTGCGATGTAGACCAATGGCATAGGCAGTTCTCGCTGCGAGCGAGAAGTACAGGTAGGCGCCATTGGGCTGGAATGCACGTAGCATGTAGACGGCGATCAAAGTGAATCCTTGTACTGTTGAAACATTCATGCTTGACGTAAGATGTCGCAGTAACATCTCCTTTGCGTGCTTGAACCAGGCTTCGGCTTTGCTGTCGTTGCTCTCCTGCGCCCCGATGGCAAGTACGAGGTAGTAAACAGCCGAAGTGGCATCTTCTTGGTGGGAAGTGAAGCCACCTGTGTGAACCCCAAAGTCAGCGCATGGACATCATTCGCCCGTCACCACACAACGGCATTGTCAACATGGAAGCGTCTACTCCTACTCACCGACCCAAGTCTTAATGTCCCGGAACAGTTGTTCATGGTCAAAGAGATCAGCGAGCCCACTGACGGCGATGGCATACTGCTTCGTGAGTTCGTCCACCTCCCGTAAACTGATCGCGATACTGCTTTGCTGATCCGAAGACCTCGGACGAGCGACCTCAATGATGGAATCGCGGGATGCAGCGACTGGAAGCTCTTCTGCATCAACTTCCGACGCGATCAGGTGCCTCACTGTTTGCAAGAACGAAAGCGGAGCACAATCGCCTATGAAGATCACTTTCCCCTGCGCATCTCGAAGTATACGACCTTCAAGAGGTACTACGGTGTCGTCGTGATGATCGTCACGGCTCACTGTGGGTGAAAGCGATGCACCAAAGTCGGCTATGCCGTCGTGCGTTTGTGGCCCACGTGCTCTGTTTCAAGGTCAGCACGCCAAACATTGAACAACTTGAACGGCAACGAGCGGCGCGATGTGCTAGGCATTCCGAGGACGCTGAGAGCTGGGCAATGTCTGCCTGGCACATGACCGCGCTATCCGAGAATACCCTGGGAAGGACACCTTCGATCATGGGCGAAGCGAGCTGCATACATGATGCGTGCCACAATCCCGCTGAGTCGATACGAAATGACAACACTCACGGATACTGAGCCTCCCTTGGTCCACCGCCATCACTGTACGTCCTTCTAGGGCGAGTAGTCCTCGGTCGTTCGGCCTGGCTATCTGTAGCATTCTTCTGAGCCGGTGTGTTACCAGCAGACTTTGTCGACGTCGGATAGGATCTCTGCTTCGGAGGCGAGAAAACACACGTATCTGCTCGATTCTTCCGCTTGCAATACGAGCAGGGCAATTCGCCATTGCACTTCACCTTGCGGGCTTTGCACAGGTCACAAGCTGCAATGACGCGTTCGACCCGACGTCGCTTCTCTGGTGGTGCCTGCGGATGAGAGCCGTTGGAGCCATTGGCAGCAGGATCCGTTTCTTCGGTCATAATCGAATATGAGGGAAAGTCGTCGGAATGGCGTTCTTGCTGTCCCTTCCGGTGGCGACGCTCTTGAAGCTTGTGGTCATCGGAACATGTGACGTCTTGAATTGTCGACACGAGTTTCACGCCGCCAACACCAGTAGCTGTCATAGAATGGCCGGTGGTGATGAAAGCGACGGAAGCAGGATGAAGTCGTCGGAAGATAAAAGTCGCCGATAAAGACGGGTTGACGGAAGCGGGCCGCCCTCGGAAGACCTCGGACCAGGGCTTGGCAACTGACTTCGAACGCTCTCGCTCCGCCTTCCTCCATGCCTCCCAAACCCGATGGAGCATATGGATTATGCACAATTGCAAAAGACGAACTTCTTCGACGGCTATGATTGTAGCGAGCTAATCATGTTTCTCTTCTGGCAAAGTCAGCCAGCACTCGATTTGCCTTGCCCATTGCAGTATCGGCTGGGCGGCTTTCTCCTAGAACAAAAGAGCACAGGCTACAGCAATTATGACAGTGATGACCACTGCGACACCATTTGCGAGCATCCATGAGACAGAAGCTGGGTGTGCCTCGGCAGGCGGTTGCGCGTGTAGTATCACAGACGCCCATTCGACCAGTCTTGCCCTCAGAGTGCGAATAACAACTGAATGCACCAAAAACAAAGAGAACGAAATCCTGCCAAGAAATTGCAGCGGTCGGGTGCATAAACATGCTCGACATTTTGGCAGGCCCAGGAGTGCCGGAAAGACGAGGAACGCGCCGAGAAAATATGTCTGCCAGGTATATTCTGCCGCGTTGTCCCAATACGGCAGCCAGAAGGACTTGAAAAAGAAGTAATTATCGTGTAGCACTTCTGTGGGATCTGTGTGCTGGTGTGGTGGCAGAGAGATGAGGTACAGGCCCGCCACCAATGCGATTACGGACGATGCTCGTAACCAGGTACGAGATGCGGTCGTGGATTTTTCGTCCAGAGACACAACCCTTTGGATCTCACAAACAAGAAGCCCGAACATGTAGCCTTGAACCTCAAGTGCAGCGAACCAGAAGTGGTGCAATACAAGGGCCGCCAGGACGACGATTCGCCATTTTCTCCTCGTGTTTGCCAGTCCGAGTAATGCAAGATAGCTCTGCATCGATCCTCGTGCATCCAGGGGCACGGTCCACAGAGTGTTATGTAGGCCATGGGTGAATTTCATGTTCACTACGTCTAGAGCGTCGACGAGGTATGTGATAGTGCAGGACAAATGCGACCAAGGCGATACCCACGGTCTAGCGTCTGGACAGAGATCGCGTCGATCGCTCGGCTCCTCAGCGTAAAAGTCAAAAAACCACAGTATTTGACACAGTATCGCAATTGCTGCGAGTGGAAGGTACAGACGAAGCCATCTCCGGACGACGGCCGAACTCAGCTTTCGGTAGTAAGTTATGGAAGCTCTCGCAGACTTCGAGCCGCACTGCGTCGTGGGTTCTAGAGATATTCCAATGCAATATCCAGAGATGATGAAGAAGAGCCTGACCATTCCAGGTCCATGGGCTAGGACTCGAACCGGCATAACGCGAAAGAAGTTTGACATTTGCAGTTGCGAATTGTCAGCCCATGGAGACCTGTAGAATGACCAGCACACATCCGACAGCGTGTGGGAAAGCGTCACCTGTAGAGAAGCCAGCCCTCGGACTCCGTCGATCCACTCTTCGCGTTTGACCTTCTTCGATGCCGGAGATTCTGGAGACTCCATGAATGGGAGGCCCAAATCCGCTTTTTCTTCACTCATGCTCATAATGCTGGAAGCTTTTCTCAAGCAACTCAGATTTGGTGTTCCTTCCAAAGTCAGGTGTCCGAAGCGTGAATACGCTCATTTTCGCCAGACACAAGGTAGGACCGTGTAGATTCAGATTCGATTATGTCCAATCGGAACACGCGTTTCTCGCTACAAGACATCAACGAGAACACCTTGACGATATCCGGCACTGAGATAATTGCAGTGACCATAGGTCAAACCCTACCGTTGGAGCTCTGTCCATGCCGAAAGAGGACAATGCAGAGAACTTGGCATTGCTGATCGACGTCGCATAGGATGTGCATTAGACACACGGGGAGCTTTGCTAACGTCCGGTCAGGCATCATGTGGTCGGAATCAGCGCGCGCTAGCCCGGATGCAAGCTAATCAATCGCACAACACCACTGAGAGTAACAGTAGCTATGCAATGTGACGTCGCAAAGCTTTCACAAAGACAACCGCTGACGAATGCTGAAGACATATTAGATTGACAAAGATGCACGAGACAGCGAAGCTGAAGGTATTTATGTAAAACGCAGCCTCAGCGGCCACGAAACAACCACAGGAGTATAGCGAGAATTGTTGCATCATGGGCCCAGACATCGACGGGGACAAGATGAACGGGAATCACAAAGATCGTATTCTGGTGACTGGTGTATGTCTCCTTCTCAAACTCTGATGTTGTGGCATAAGCTCACACGACCACTCTTCGATTAGGGCGCAGGTTTCATCGGGTCATGTCTTGTTGCAAAACTACTTCGTGAAGGCCACGAAGTGGTTGCGCTGGACAACTTTTCGACGAGCCCATTGAACACCTTGCGAAATGTGATTTCCAATTCGAATTTCACACTCGTACAGTGGAGTCTCACCCCCAGCTCTCACGCATTTTGTATCTTTGCTGACACTCTCACATTTAGAGCCAATATAGCAGACCCAATACCTGGGGACATTGAGCCATGTAGCCGCATATACCATCTTGCATGCCCTGCGAGCCCAAAGTACTTCTCGACAGATCCGTTGACGATCCTGGATACATGCTATTTTGGCACACGGAATGTTCTTGAGAAGGCCCGGCAATGGAACGCGAGACTTCTCCTGGCCAGCACATCTGAAGTGTATGCTCATTCCTCTCTTCACAACTCGCATGTTTCTCACGCTGACATCACATTTTCCAGTTATGGACAGCCCGAGCGGAATATTCAGGCCGAGACCTACTTCGGCAACGTCAATTGCTTCGGTCCGCGCTCATGTTACGACGAGGGTAAACGCGTCGCCGAGGCACTTGCGTTCGCATATCGTGTTCAGCATCCAGACTCGCCGGAAATCCGAATCGCTCGGATCTTCAACGCTTATGTGAGGACGAATGCACCGGTTTGAGACAATGAACGGATCATACTAACATGTACATCAGGGTCCCGGCATGCATGCTTCAGACGGCCGAGTTGTCACCAACTTCATCGGAGCAGCATTGCGAGGCGAGGATCTTGTGATCACAGGCGATGGAAAATCCACGCGCTGCTTCCAGTACGTGGACGACTGTGTTGCCGGTCTGACTAGTCTGATGGAGAGCTCTTGGCAACATGGTCCTGTGAATATTGGATGCGAAAAGGAGACCACTATTCAGGAGCTTGCGGACCTGGTTGTCAAGACTGTGTCAGAAATCACAGGTGGTCCTCAGGTTGGCGTTGTCTATGGCGATCCATTACCTGATGATCCTCTGCAGAGAAGACCTGATTGCACGTTGGCGAAGAAAGTGTTAGGTTGGAATGTTAAGACGGATCTGGTTGACGGACTACGACGGACGATCGACTGGCATATTGCTGTATCCCAAAATTAGTTCAGATCTGTGGACGCCACCAGTGCTACAAAGTCCTACGCGAGCTAGAACATGGCCAACGCTTTACGGCTTCCAAATCGAAGCCTTGTTCTTATCTATGATGCTCTAGAAAGAGACCTTGCACTTGCTCAGAGCGCAATGGGTCAACGCTACCTCCTAAGTGCGGTGAAGTGCGGACGAGTCGGGGGAAGCAGTCGAAGTGCCACGCGATATGCATTCATGCATACACGCAGCCGAAAGGATTAAGCCACCTGCACGCCACCACTGGTGAACCAGGCTTCAGACATTCTGCGTCGCGAAGCAGATACAGCATCTCGTCATCGTGTTCATCACGATACCCTCCTTGAGTATTGATAAGCTTTCGAGCGTACAGAGTTTGCTCTCGTTGCACAATTGCAAATTCAATGAATGGATCAACAAAGGCAGATATGTACCATGTACAACAGACAGAAGAAACTCTCCCACCTATCTCCGCTCAAGAAAAGAAACGAAGAAAGCGTGCAGATGCCATCTGGAGGCCTTTGACCTTGTCGATATGGGCACTACAATCGTATCTGATTTACCTACTGGTCCAGGGTATACGATCGACGAAGCCAAGTGATCAACAGCCGTGGACTCCGATCTTCTTCATATGCTGGCAGATTACGCAGCTCGGTCAGTGATGCCACAATCTTTCACCGTGAAGCAGAAACTCGCAGGTCACGAGCGAAAGTCACGAGCGAGAGCATGACCACCATTACTGACGCAACAGCGAGCAGCAACATCAATACTAGGCGAGTCATACCGTTTCCTACTATGGTCCGGAGTCACTCTCAGGCGGAAGACCCGGCTGGTCGGTGCCCATGCTCCATTGGTGGACATCATAGTCGTCAGCTGTGGCGAAGAACGAAGCGTTATCCTTGACACCTTGCGATCAGCGTGTGCACAGGACTATCCAAACTTCCGTGTGCTTCTAGGAGACGATGGAAACGACGACGAGCTGGAAGAAGAAATTCAACAGCTGCGTGAGATCTCGCCTTGCGAGTTACTCTACTACCGCAGACCTGGAAAGAGTGGATGCAAACGAGGATACAAAGCTGGAAATATGAATGCTGCTTTGGCGTATCTGGACACTTTGAGTAGCGAACGCACCGAGTTCTGTGCATTCTTGGACTGTGACATGATTGTGGAACCCGACTTTTTACGAGCCACGATGGGACATCTTGTACAGAATCCAAAGGCTGGCGTTGTTGTCGTGCCGTAAGTATGATCTTCAGCATCAGGTGTAGCCTTCCGGAGTTCTGCAGTTGGGAAATTGCTAATGATTAATGTGCAGTCAAAGCTTCTACAACCTCCCATTGAATGATCCTCTATACTCGTCCATGTACATCCATAACTGGCAGGATCAAGTCGAGCGTGACACACTTGGTGCAGTTTGGGAGACTGGGCCTGGGGTTGTCTTTCGACGAAAAGCAATCGAAGGCATGGGTGGGTTTGACGAATGGGTACTTATGGAAGACATAATTGCTGGCATGCTGTTGAACGGCCTTGGCTGGGAGACAGTCTTATGCTATGAGCAACTGCAATGGGGTATGGTCCCTGACACTTTTGCAGGATATATCGCGCAACGACGGAAATGGGTAAGTTGGAAATCTAAGTCATCATTTTGACTATCGACTGACAAGATTCTAGTGCGTTGGAACAGTTCGAGGCGCCATGATAGCAAAATTCGGATTCCATCCGCAGAAGATGAGCAAACTCACTTGGCGTCAACGTATGGTACAGTTCTGGTATTGCATATCGCCATACGTTTCAGCCACGCAAAGGACTATTTTACCACTGGCATTCCTGCTCCTGGTGGCCACAAAGCAACCTCTGGTTGTTCCAATCAACTTGCGACTGTTGCGTCGAATGACTGTCATGATCGGTGTAGCATACCGTATTCAATTCATGGTATCTGGCTGGCTTTGCAGTTATCACATGGTCCGAAGGAAGATGGAGGCGGCAACATGGCTTAGTCCATACCTCTTCTTGGTGATCGTGAAGGAGCTACTTCCACACTGGCTGGCCGGAGTGCCAATAAGATTCACGCCTACGCAGTTACTGGAATCGAATCTGCTCGAACGAGATGCAAAGCTTCGAGCACCTCTTTGGCATAGAATCGTGGTGACTATCGTGTACCAAGGTCTCTGGTACCATCTCCTCATCGCTACAATAGCTGTCAGCATGTTCTACGACGGTTACGCCGCCGCCAAGTCACAGAAGACTGCTGACGGGGTATGTCATCACCTCTGGTCTCACATTCTTGCTCCGGGTGGAGATTGGCTCGTCTACGGAGATCTCCTAGCACCACTATTTTATATAATATGGCCTCCGACTATGCCAGCACGGCGTGACATGCTGGAGAAGTCAAGTTGTGGCAAGATGGAGACTTGGTATCCAAAGCTTTACTACAGGCAGGAGAACTGGGAGTGGTACGGAACTTTCGTCAAAGAAATCATTATGGGTGTAGCTTATGCGTTCTACCTTTTGGTCGATAGGGAATACTGTACATAGCACTCGAATGTGCGACATAGGTGATGACCCGAACTGTCAACTGTGCTTGGTTGCATGACATTGTTTTTGATCTTTGAGCAAGCTTCATCTGCGTCCGCGACGACCTACCTACTTGTCTATCAGTGAGCATGCGCATCGGGAACTGATATCCTTGTAGCGATCCCAATAGCTGTGGAAGTAGCGACACTGATGTAAATTGCCGGACCGCGAAATAATCAGGGACGCTTGGCTCCAAGCTCACCACGATCACATCCGGGAATGAGACACCCTTTTGAGGCCACGATTGCATTGAGTTTACTTGATGTAGAGAGTAGCTGGATTAAGATGATCGAGTTCTCCGAAAACAAAAGCACCAAGTCCCGAACGCCTATCCCAATGCTTTTCACACCACCCTCAGTCTAAGCTCTACTTCTGCGCCTTGAGGTAGATTGGATCCTGCTTGTCATCTGGCAGTGGTGCTCCAGTAGTACAGTCCGTAGCCACGAAGACAGTGTCTCCCGAAGCTGTACCAGTAGCAGTCTGGAAAACGCTTTCGATGCACACATATTCATCCACCCTGTGCGCGCACCACTTGTTGAAGGGGTTAGACTTCACCTCACTCTTTGCAGACATACCACAACTCTTCACAATGTGAGGCACGAATCCCCAAAACCCACAAGAATCGATCAGAGCCTCTGGCTTATCACGAATGATGCCGTTACCAGTGCTCTTCGTTTCGGTCCATGTGAATGAAGCTCCCGCGGAGAACGCCGCTTGAGTAATACCGATGTTGAAGGTAGTCGATTGGCCCACGTCCACTCGCATGTTCTGATCCAGACGGCAGGCCGATCCTTTGCCGCAGCGGGTGTTGTCGAATGGGTAGACTTCTCCGTAACGCCATTCGAGAGTCTCCTCGCAATAACGTTGGCAGCTGTTGGACCAAGGAGAATTGCCGGAGCAGTATTTACCGTTGCCGTCGTCCTTGATTGTGTTCTTCTTTGGGCACTTGTCTGATTTGACGCCAATTGGGACTTCGTATGGGTGAAAGCAGTTCTCGTTGATCCATGGGTTGGAAGGCTGGTCGACTCGAGGAAGGAGTTCAGCTTCTGGCTTTGCTGGGATGACGCTGCCGGAAGCGAGGGTTGATGCCAGAATGGCAATGGAGAAAGACTTGGAAAGCATTCTGAGTTGGAGTGTCGGAAGTGGTGTCGAGAGTTGGAATTCTGAAGATGAATGTTGTAGTGGTGTGATGCTGCTGGCTGCTCGCTGCTGAAGAGTTGTGTTGTGTGATGATATCTCCAGAATGGCAAGATATTTCTCTCATCTTATACCAAATTCCACATCTCGTCGTACCTACAGTGCGCAGACAGGTCCTGCGTGCACAGTGACTGCCCTCTCATGTCGGCGGGTCTTGGGATTCTCCAATGTGCTGCGAATAGGAACAACACTCCTAAGCCATCCACCGTGGAAAGCATTGACGAGCCCAAGGAAGGCTCTGTCCAAACTAAGATTCCTTCGTCTGGAGTCGACTGTATAGGGTCGTGCTGCGCACAGAGAGAATAGTAACAATCCTTCTCGCTTGTGCCGGCATCATGTCGGGACTTGGTATAGCGAGTGGGTCAGCGCCTATTTTGCACAGCCCTCGCAATACAAAGTCACCCCATGCTATTCGAGTGCCGTCCTAATGCCGGTACCGGTGCAGGTCGATCACTTTAGGGACTTGACACAGCCCGAGTGGCTCACATAGGTTCGCATGCTGGAAACTAAACATGATGGTCGAGGCGTGCGTTAATGGCTCGTCCCCAGTCGTATGAGCCCTTTGCTCTGTACTGCTGTAGTTGGTGACGCCCCACGGCATGTCTCTATACGAACAGGAGATGAGCTGACGTCGCGAAACAATTGTGAAGCTTTTTAGTGCTTGTTGGTCCTTCCCAAACGGAACGTCGAAGGAATGAAATGTTTCGACTTGATGCGTTTCATCCCGCTACAATCCTCTCGAACTGATACGCTCAGGGCTGGAGTTGCGCACAAGCCGAATGTCGTCCACAACGATAGAACAGAGTCAGCTTCCAATGTTGTTGCCAGGAGACGGCTGGAGGTTTCAACATTACTTTTCCTATTCATACACAACTAATGCAATAAACCCATCGCCTCGTACATCTCAAGACAGTCTACCGGTGCACTACCATATCTTGCAGTCTGTCTTCCCGTTGAAATTAATCTAAACCTGGTCCGCAAAATCTTTCGCAGCTTTCGCCCGCCTGGCTTGCGCCGCCGCATTCTTCTTGAAAAACGTGTTTCTCGGTTTGGCCAGCGCCTTGTTCGGGTTTCTGCCCTTGTCGTGCTCCATGTACGCCATATTATCTCCTCCTGCCAGCGACGACAACGTGCCAGCTTGCCTTCGCACACCACTGCCCTTCTTCTTGGTTCGCGATACGTTCCGATCGCTGAATAGATCGTCCTTGATATCCTCGACGTCGCCCGTGGTGTCGTTTTGGAGCAGCACATCAGTGAGCAGTGTCATTCGCTCCTGCTGAGTGTTGAAAGCCAGGTTCGGCATTCTCTCGATCCCATTGAGATGCGTGATGACCTTGAAAGCATAGCCTTGATCGACTAGGAATGCTTGTCGCTTGGAGGAGTAGTACATTTCATTTGTGTCTTTGCTGACCAGGGAGTAGAAGAAGGCATTGAAGCCTTCGTCATTACGTCGCTTTGCCCGCAAGATACGACCCAGGCGCTGTGCTTCTTGACGCCGGGATCCGTAGTGCGAGGAGATCTGAATCAGGCATGTCGCCTCCGGCAAGTCGAGAGACGTGTCACCAATCTTGGACAGGAAGATAGTAGACACGGCGTCGTTCTGTTGGAAGTTCTGCAGCACAATCTCGCGCTCGCGCTGACCTGTGTCACCATAGATGTATGGTTTAGTCATGCCCTTTGCGTATTTCTCCAAAGCGTAGACATTGTCTGAGAATACAATGACTTTGTCACCACGCCTCTCATGGAAGTCGATCAAGAACTGGCATGCCTGGTACTTGCGCGGATTCATCGTCGACAGCAAGCTTCGCTTGTTTGTTGTCTTGGCTTCTAGGTACTCCTTGTAGAATTCGGTAGTCATTGGACACCATACTTCTGCGCACTGCACACGCGCAATGTGTCCTTCCTCGCTGAGCTGAAGCCAATTGGCCTCGTACAGTTTCGGTCCGATGAGGAAGTTTAGATCTTTGATCTTGTCGTCTTCTCGCAGGAGGGTTGCAGTGAGTCCGAGTTTCGAATGTGTCTTGATGCGTTCTGTCACTCGCCTGAACATCTCTGCTGGCACCACGTGGACCTCGTCCAGAACCATGAGGCCCCACTCTCGCCCAGTGATGAAGTCCATGACCTTTTGGCTGTCGTGGGCACGACGAGTGTTCTGCGTGACCATACTGTACGTGCAGATGATGACTCCCGCCTTCTCCCGCAGGCTTTCCTTCTCACCGCTGGTGAAAATGGCAATGTCGTCAGGGTTGATATTCGACCATTTCTTGAACTCTTCCTTCCACTGGACAGCACTCATGGCGCTTGTGCACAGCACGATCGCACTCTTCTTGACCGTGCAGGCTGCAGTAATGCCGACCAAGGTCTTGCCGGCTCCGCATGGCAGAACGATGATGCCACTTCGAGCGCGTCCGTTTCCGAACATCTTACTGAGCGCATGTTCTTGGTAGTATCTGATTTGCACATTCGGCCGCAGGTCGATATCCAGATTCGCATTGATATCATCTGCTCGAAAATCATACTCCTCGGTCAACGGCAGGTTGAGCTTGACGTTGCAGTGCTCCTGCACCTTTTGTATCTGATTGCCATCGATTTCGAAGGAATGAACAAGGTCTGTATCCTCATCATCTTCTTCCTCGCGCAGAAACTCCGTCATGGTCTTCTCCGCATCGCGGCCACCAAATTCGTCGTCTGAATCATCCTCTTCGTCTCGCTTTTGTGCTGCCTCCGCTTGCTGCATAGCCTCCTTATCTGCTCTTGCCTGTGCGGTTCCTTGAATCGTCAGATTGCCCTTCTTCGCCGCCTTGTCCGTCTGTAGATCCTCAGTATCATCTACACGTGTCGAGCTAATGACCGGGTCCCGCAGCAGCATTTGCAGCACGGACGCATCGTTGCTTTCCACAAAGTATTTATTGTGCTTCAACACGAGTCTCACTTTTCCAAAAGACTGAGTCACCTCGTGCACGAAGTCGATGATGTTAGCAGGGACCTTCGTCTTCGAGAACAGCTCGAGATCGCGGATGATGTCTTGCTCGGTCAGACCCACAGACACTGCGGCAAACAGACTGTGAGGACTGATTGTATATTCGTGCATATTTGTCGTTCGACTTTGTGGCTCGGCAATATTGATCAAAAAGTTCTGTGCCTGTTTGAAACTCGGTGCAAAGGTCTCGAGTACGACCTTGCCGTTGGCTGGATCGATCCACAACGGGCGGAGGTGGTGATCAGGTTTGAGGGTCTCGTTGAAGAAATTGCGCGTAGATTTGAAGAGATGACTGGCAGCGTCGCCGTGCGATGAGGCGGCGGCGGCAGGTTTCTGGTATGTGGCAGGCTGGTACCTCTGGACTACTTCTACATGTCACACTATCAGCGGCCTGTTGCAAGTAGACAGTGCGAGGGGTAGACCACTCACTGTCGTACTTCCGTGGCGCCTGCCTCTCCTCTTCATCGAATTCGTCGCTGGTCCCATCGTATTCCTCGTCGCCATCGTCCATCGAGATCGGGGTGGCGGCGCCTGAGGCGATTCGTTTCGTCGCCCGCCCATCAACGACGGGTGCCTTCCGCTTCGCCGGCATCGTGTCCGCCGTCTTCCACCCGGTGCGGTGGGCGCTGTCGATAGTTTTGCGCGGTAGAGGTGGTGGTGTTGGAGGATGAAGTCAAGAGGCTTGATGATGATACTTGAAGGCCGCAGCCGCAGGCGCAGTCACAGCTTAGCCCTAGTCACATGCCTGCCGGACTCCGAAAGCTTATTTTGGAGCAGGTCAATGCTCCTCCGTCATTCGGCGAGAAGGCCGTTCATCAATCACTTTTATCATTCGCCTTCATCTCATCTGATTGCAGCATCTTCCAGAATCAAATCTTCTTGCGAAACAGGCCGTCGAAGATATTGTGGAAAAATCAGCTCAGCGAGCACAGGATTTTGACCATGAACACAGTAAGACCGAGTCAATCACATGCGCCAATGGACACTGGCTAAGAAGCACAGATCCGCTCAACGTTCTATGGCTGGGGCGTCCTAATCCTAGCCGGAGGTGGCTCATATTACTTCGCGAAGAAGCAAATCAACAAGGACCGCGACGAACGAGCTGCATCGATCGAGAAATCCAGACAGCAGGCCGAACGACTCCGAGCACAAGAGCAAGTGGCACGAGACAGAGCGATGTCAGCCAACTCACCCGCGAGCGCGACATCAGGAGCCGTCCCAGTATCAGGCGATCATCCTAGCCCGAGCGTCGAAGCCACGACCGATCCTGCGCCGACGAAACACGTGGAGAAGGAAAGCAGATTTGAAGCGAAAGAGCCTTTTCGAAGTCGGAAAGGCGATCGTTTTAGTTGAGGCAGGCCACATGTCGGCCTAGCGAGAGCTTTCTGAGGCAAGAGGATGAAGAGATGATTGATTGATGCATAGCGAGGGAACATGGCAAAGAAAGAGCATGACACTGCATAGGCCGAAGAAAGCCAATAGAATTGTATTATACAGCTAGCCCACGACCATATTGCGCTCTGGCTAGCATAAATTGCATGACAGAGCTCTTCCAACATGCTTGGCTTGTACCATCGATGCAATATTACGCCAAAAATGCCCAACAATCCAGTACGCCAGCGATGCGCCTCGCCCTGGGTATCACATCTCCTCCCAAACAAATGGAACGCCATGTATGTCTATTCTGCGGCATGCTCCGCCAAAGTGCCCAGTTCTACCTCCGCAATCTCATATACGCTCCAGCATAATCGTCGAGACTCGAGGCAGGCAGGCAATCACGGAAGCTGAGTTGGCGACTACAGAGAATGAATCCAGGTCAGCACAAATGCTTCAGGATTATCGCTTGATATAACTGCAGCTGATGGACTTACAAGTTCGCCAGCTTCGAATCTTTCCTCGCGATCTGACTAACGTAGAACGCAGTCCCAAGTGGAGCACCAACAACCGTACACCAGTATGCCGTAGCAGCAGCAGCTCCTATCCGGTCTTCTTGCGAGGTACTACGCGCACTCGTTGTGAAAGATCGCATCGTTGGCGCGAAACGCGAGTTTGCCCTTCGGAATGCAGCCGCCATAGTCGAAAGCTACTGTATTGATTGATCGGCGCTAGGGAATTGATGGATTGGAGCTTGAATATTGACGGGGAAACTGTTGGAGAGCTTCGATTGTGATTTGCAGAGTAATGCAGTCCGTGATTGTTTCCTTGAAGAGGTAGAAACGTTGATATGATTGAAAGGTAGGGAAGAAAGACGTCAAAGCAGATAACGCAATATAGGAGGCACAGGAATGGTCAGCTGGTAAATGCATAGCCAGGCCGATGTCAGCTGTTTTGCAAAGACTGTGATTGGCTGCGGGCGAGTACGTTTCGCGTGGCAGGTTCTCCCACTGTGCTCACGTTTCGTGGGGCGGGAGAGGGTCCGCGGGTCGGTCAGCGTAGAAGTTGGAGAACTTCAACACATCAACAACACACACCAATCAGAATCTGTACCATCACCAAAAGCTGGAGATGATCTCCATCCCCATGTTTCAAGCCAGGCAGGTGAACATTAGAGAAATGGCGCGAAAAAAATTGTCATCATCGCATTCTATGGACCTTTGACTCTGCAAAATCAGTCTGTAAGAGTCATGACATGAACATCGCACCCGTTTATCTAATCCCCTCATACCAGACTTCACAGTCACGGGACTAAACGTCACCTCTGCGTGCATTTTTACTCAAGTGAGCACAACGGCTTCACTTTCCATTTTTTCCTATGCCACGGGCTGCAACTCACTGAACCAAATGGTTCTGGCCGAAGCCAGAGTAGCCATGATTGATTTGGTTGTAGTCCTTCAGCTCTTGCCTCGTTGGTCGCTTCCTGCATTCGTCCAAGGACAATTGGCCTGCGATCCTTACCAACTTGAATCGCTCGTACAACCCACCCTTCCCATTCTTCGGCTTATCCATTGCCTCAACTCTATACAAACCATCGTATCTCAGTCCCTCAGCAGGTGCCCATGGCAGGACAGCCCTAGACGTACGCAACAATCTCATAGGCCGCTTGTGTTTCAAGGAAGCATGTAAGATCCTCGTACCAAGCGTAGACTCCGCTGGTTGATTCGGATCTTTGTTCTCGTGGCTTCCGGATCCAGAGTAGTACACGATCTCGCCTTCATCCTTGTCCAGGTCCTCGTAAAAGCCGCTTACGACTACAGAGTAGGCACCGGTTCCATTACTACCAGCGATGCCAGCTTGCGAAGCGCCGTGTGCGCCAGCAAAGAGTGCTGCCAGGCGGTTTGGGTACCACTGACCGACTGGGATGCCATTGTGGCTATGAACCTTGGGGTCCTTCTTTTCGCCCTCATAGAGTGGGTTGAGGCACTTCGACAGTGAGCCATCTGACTGAATACGCAGTGCGACTCCGTGCATGATGCCACCGGTGCCCCAGATAGGGTGGTCGACGGGTGGTTGGACTATCCTGCCAGTACCCGAGGCCTTGACATGTTTAGTCCGAGCGACCGACATCTTGCGACGCTTAGGTGCACGCTCAGAGGGACCAGCAGAATCAGAATCGCTCGTATCACCTTCGTCAGAACTGAGTTCCTCGTCCTCAATTTCTGCAAGGCCACCCCAGTTCATGGCTTCGAAGTGCTCATTTAATGCCTTAGCTCTTTCCACATATTGTTGAGGAAAGTGATAGCGTGCATCACCGCAGATCAACCTGAGGAGTTTGTCGATCTGGCATGATTGCTTGAACTCTGGAGTCATCGTCTTGTCTTGCTCGAAGGCCTCCAGGATCGCATTGAGACCCTCAAAGTGAGGACGAAACTTATCCTTAGTAGGGTCGAAGCTGTCTTTCTTGGAGTGTTGTGCCAGCAATTGGACGCTCTTGTAGTTTTCGCTCACGATCTTGACGCGCTTCGCGTACGGCGAGGTGGTGGCCATTATGTAGGCTCTTCTGCGAAGGGCGGCAGAATGATAAAGCCTGTGCGTGCTTGCGAGAGTGCGAGAGTGACTCTGCCGATAAGTTGGCGTTGAGTACTAATAGTAACAGTGCAAGGCGATCGGATGCGAGTGTTGTGCTGGCGCAAACCAGACCAGACAGCACGCGGATCGTGTTTGTTGCCGATGCGCACAATGTGCGACGTGGCTGCTATATGTATATTGTTGTTTATTCTAGTATATTGTCTATGTGTAGTAACGCTGGCAACAGTCAGTCCTGCGCGGTTGCCTTGAGGTTCCATATGGTAATGTTTACAGTGCAGGTGCGACTACTTTAGTTGGAAGGAGCGATTGATAGTGGAGGAAAGGGAAGAGGAATTGGAGCAGAATGTTGTGTGTATATATACCCGTGGTGACAGGGCTGGTAGCAGTACTAGAAATAGAGAAGAGTCGCTCTAGTAGATACGATTGGGCGGCACTAGATATAGAGAAAGTCTATGTCCCACTTTTCGGCAGATCGATTGGCTGAGAAATGTCGGGGGCTAGCGACTACATTTTCGTTCTAATCTCGAGCGGGGTAACTATATATAGTATACTATCTATTATATAATACTATTACGTACTACTAATAACTTTAATTCGAATTACTTTAATCCGAATTACTTTAAATTAAATTACTTTAATAAGGAATAGTACTTAAGAAATACTATACTCTAGTTTAGATATTCTACTACTTAATACTATAGATAGCTAGAAATATAACTTAGAGATCTAGATAAAATTAGTTATGAATATTCTTTCTATTTAAATAGATAGCGCGAAAGTATAATAATATTATAGACTTGCGAGAACCGTCGATACTCTCCTTTTGTATCTATTGCATATCGTAGCAGCAACATATTACTTACTAATAGCTAGGCTACGAACAAGAGACGACATTATGCCTCATTTTGAGCGAATTAGTCTCAACCTTGCTTTGCTACCGTGCCCCAGGAAATATGATTATAGGGAGACTCACTTAACGAGGAGACGCATGCAGCTTGATTTGCGTAGACGCTAAGGGAAGAACGTTTGCATCGAGCTCTACGCCCTTTCTGCGATGCCTGTAACACGAGAAATGTTTGATGATACATGCCGTTGCGGCACTAGCGCAAGCGCCCACATATAGATAAGAGGCAGTCGACCTTTACTGTGAGCAGTTATAACTGCCGATTCCCTTCCTTGTTTTGCCCTTCGACCTAAAATCCGACAGGATCGATTTTTTTGGTCGATTCTCCTAACATGCTACTGCGAAAAACTGATGACCGTAACTCACGATACATCACAGTCGACACATCTGACGCCGCCCATACAGCCACTCCCTGACAGCAACCCGCATCAATAAGACACCTGCGAATGGCAGCAGGGAAAGCATCGCTAGCGACCTGATGAAGCTGCATTCCACGCAGACCGCTCGTCGAAATCACGTATCACAACTATGTTCGTGCTCGAGCATCAGTCGTGTTCACCCAACTGCCATGCTCCAGGCAAATCTCAGACACGGGCTTTTGGGTCGTAACAAGAGCCGTCCGCCATCACGCCTGGTATTTCGATGCTGATGTTCGGGCTACTGATCGCTACGCAAAAGTGAACACGGTGTGTATACTCTCCGTAGCCGTTCGTTCCAATGGCTTTCTCGATGAAACCCCTCAAAGTCGGTGATCGTCAGAGTACGGAACCTCGTAGTCCGGCATGCACTCATTGCAACACCTGAAGCGTGTCTGGACCGTATTGTCGACGCACGAAACAGGATGAGCCCATCGTTCCTGGTCGTGATGGAAGCTGTTATGGCCAATAGTCTTGACAGATAGAGGTGCTGCCATCTGCACCTGCAATTGCAAGATCGAGGTGAACGTGGCGTGGCTCACTCCGTGACGAAAACAATTACGGAGCCTGGCATGCTCGCGGAAGACACTTGACTGAGAATGGAAACATGAGTCGGTTGTACAAAATCGTACACTAATCCTTCGGGTCGTCTGGTAGCGTCGACCGTCAGAGCTCTCGTATTGCAGCTCTGTATCGCATTTGACACATGCTGCGTCGCCGTAGGCTTTTGTATCCATGCAAATCCACTGTCGTTGGTTCAAACTCTGTAAATTTGGTCGAGAAGTCTACTACATGAATCCCATGCGGCAAAAGGCTAGATCCTACGCCTTGAGGCCTGATACCAAGTCATATTTGCCTCATGACTACCTAGCGGCACATATTGCAAGCAGACTATCACAATTGAGGGCTCGTCTGGATCGATGAACTTTGCGCCGTGAATCACGCTGCGGCGTGACAAACTATCTTCGAGTGTTCACTATGTCTGGGTCTGTAAATGAGCCGCTGAGGATTGTGTTGTCGTCGATGGCTCTCAAGGTCTACAGCGATGGTGCTGCTTTGAACCAATCCATCGTCTTGGAACCGTGCGTGACTAAGACGATATTGACTATCACGAAAGTAAGTTTGTGTTAGCCCTCATTCTGTTGCAACGTACATCAGAAGACACGAGATCTTGACGTTGTCTCTCGCGGGGAAAGGCAGGATAATTTTAGTTGCTTGCTGCATCGTGGGTGAGATTTGTCCTCCAGGGAGATCCAATAGAGCAAAGACCTCTTCGGGCAAATGCTCTTTTTTATCTCTCGTACAATTCTTCCGCCAAGTATGACGAGCCGTGGACATCCGCCGTCTCTGCTGACTCCCCCTCCAGCGAGAATGGTGGCCGGTGTGTCGCTGTTGGATTGCATTCCGCAGAACATTTAAAGCTGGACTTGGTCCATGCAAGATTTCTTCTTCACAGTCGAACACCACAACAATCAATCTATCTTCCCAGCCGAAGAACACAACAATCTAACGAACTCAAGATGCTCAAATTCTTCCTCGTGCTGCTACTCTGCACCATTCAAGGTCCGTGAAATCACAGCGACAGCGTATCGCTGCTGCAATCCAACCGAAGTCACACACTGAGCCAACTTGAAAGTATCAGGAGCACTATGCCTGCCACGCCCTGCACCGGAAGACTTGAGCGCGAACTATTGCTATGGCAGGATAGTTTTTGGAAAATGCCACACCTTTTATAATCCACCCATCAGAAATGCGCAGACCTTGAACATACGAATGAACAGGAACGGTACAACGACAAACGCACAAGACAACGTTATACAGGCCGAGACTTTATTGAGCACCCACAACCAACACCGAATCGTCGTTTCCACGGCGCAGGGCTACACGCTCCCTGTACACGCAGATATCAATGTAATCATCACGGTGGGCAACCATGTCTACGGGCGCCCAACTGGACAGATCATAGATGCCAGCGTGCCCAACGTATTATACACCTTCTCGAATGCAGACATACAGGGGCTTTTCCACAATGCGGGAAACAATGCGGACCATGTTACGATCACGGTCAAGTATACAATCGATCAAGAATTGAAACGAAAGAAAGCGCAGGCTGTGTAGCGTACCTCTGGGAAGCCTGCGCTACAGCACAAGGGACGCGTAACTTTCTGGATTGAAGAGCACATCTTCGCTTTGTGGAGCGCTTGTATTGGGCACGATTGTACACGATAGCATCAAATGATTTTCTTGCATTACCACAACCAGAATATCCCATTTCAGTCCCATCACACACAACTCTGCTGAACATCGGCTTGAAGACGGCTGCAACACAGACAGCGAGTTATGTGCAAAGCTGAGCAACAAGAATGACTGTGAGGCGAGACGTTAACAGGCTGCGGAAACTGGGTGGTGCCGGGCTGTGTAGAGATGTGACGACAGCCTCTGAGCTATGTAGAAAAGAAGACAAGCAAGAACCAAACACCGCTCGATGCGCTTGCAAGCTCATCGAACACTGAGAATCGCGGCCCTCAAGACCATCGAACCAAATGCAGACCAAAAGCTCATCAAATCATGCCTTCAGAGCCAGCGTGCGCAGTGTTCGTTGGTGGAAGACTCCTAGTGCGAATTTCCTCCAGCTCGACCGTCTACTTCCAGCAGACTATTAATCCATTGTGACACAAAATGGCGGCTCAAGGCCGGCACGTATGACTTCGAGTGATGCTACGATTGACAATTGGAAAGGCGTGACAATGACCGCATTCATCGTGTCGTCTTCGGTTCGAAGGGAATTTCACTCGTAGTGTTGCTCAACTGCGCTTTGCTGCTGTTGCAAGTTGTGTGCCTAGACCGTTCATTTACGGATGTGCAAATCTATGATGACCTCGTTTCTTTGCTACATGGAGCCTTCTCCAAACTTCAGGCTCTAGCTGCATGGTAAGTGAATCGCTTCCGAAATTCTTTGCAACGCACATCATGATACTATGGTGACGCTGTAGGGAATAATATTCACCGGAGCAACCAACCCTTGCATTTGCTCATCAGGAGGTAAAGCAGTCATTGTTACTGGAGCTCCTTCAACCATTATGCTCGTCCAGTGCTCCCTAACGGCTCCTCCAAGTGTCGTAGACACCACAACTCTGACCTCATTGCTTCCAACACGCAAGTACTCACTGATATCGCAGCTCGGCGCCGTGGGATCGAGAGGCGGCAGCTGATTATCGTTGATCCACACCCGGGCAGTGTGAAGAATAAAGCCAAGATCAATCTCAGCACCATTCGACCGTGCTCCAGACAATGGCCAGTCGAACGAAGCTGTGTAGAAGCCACGACCGGACGTATTTCGAAGAGTATTAGAAATCGTAGACCAAGACTTCAGCTCTGTTATCTGGAATGTCTCATTCGTTTTCAATGAATCGTAGGAGTCGTCAGATCCAGTGCGAGAGGCGTTGGGAGGTAGCCAAGATTCGACAATGAGAGTCCAATTCTCTAGTTCGAGAGCATGGGGAGCGGCTTCGAGCTGAATCACTCGTCCATCAAGCAGCTTCAAGTCTCGAGCAGTCTCGCGGTTCTGAACTCGAAGCACGTTCCCTTCTGTCGTATCATGCAACGACACGCCTGGTGGAAGACCGAAGCATTCGCAACGAGGGGTTTCGTCCTTGTGGAAAGCCAGAATCAAGGTTTGGTTGCCTGCAATAGTGAGGGGGATCGTGATGCCATCGTCACTCACTCGACAAGTCCGCACGGCGATCGACGTTCCGGTCCATCCGTCGTACAAATAAGGAGCACCTTGCACGGCAAACCGAACCGTTCCGTTTGAGGTGCCCTCTCCATGAGGTCTTCCGACGGCGTCGTTGTACAGGATCACTGTGATCCGACGTTCGTTCTCATCCTCCCGCCAGTAGGTCTGCCACAGCCCTTCGGTCGACACCAAAGCTTTGGGCGTCAGACCAACGACCGATCGAAGAGACTCGGCAAGGTCGTTTTCGGGGACAACAAAGAAGTTATGCAGATTCGCCATCCGTTGAAGAATAGATGCGATTTCGATACGGTTCTTCTGTTCAGAATGGGTTGACACCTGCTGGGGAAGTCCTCCAACAAAGACTACTTTGAGCCCTTGCAAAGCCCACTCTGCAACTCTCTGTGCCCCGAGTAAGGTCATGGTGTCATTTCTGCGAATCACAAGAGCCTTGAAAGCCTGGCGATCTGGAGCCAGAACGCCATGTCTGACGTAGGCGTTGCTCAGATCGAAATTGCTCGGGCTGATATATTCGTAGGTGAAACCTGTGTGTAGTGTTATCAACAGCTCAAAGCATAATCGCTGACAGGACTGACCAATTTTGTCCATTTCTGACACATTGTACTTCGGCAAAGTGATATATGTTGTCAAATCATGGATCCAGAATGCTACATCCATCTTTGGCACACCACTTTGAGCTATGGGCTGCATTCTTGACGTCCAGCTCATGTAGTCGTTATAATACTCCCAGGCCGGTTGCCGCGGTCCGTGCATGGAGGAGAAGCGATAATAGAATGTTGTATAGCCGGGCCAACTGGTGTTGGGATAGTTGCCAGAGTATGGATATCCGTGGTAGACCATTCTGTTGGCGCCTCCCATGATGGAGCGTTTAACATCAGAAATGAGCTCTGGAAGCGTTTGCGTATATGCTGCCGCATACTCGGCTCCTAATTCGTTGCTGACGATATTCAGTCCAGCCAAGTTCGCTGGCCCAGAGAACTGTCTGTATACATCAACTGAGCCTTGGAATGCCAGCGACTCACACTCCGGAACATCGACTGCGGGGACGTTGGCTGCCATTTCCATCGGAAGGTTGTAGACGACTTGTGCGCTGTACCTGCAGTTCAGCCCGTTCCTCGCCCAATCTGATAATGTATCCAAATAGACTCGATTTAGTGCTGTGAGCTACGAATTGGTCAGCGTCAACATCTAAGCAAGCTTTGGAAATGTTCTTACCGTCGTCCAATAGTCGTGCAAGTAGTGTTGACCCTCATCATCATCGCTGGTAAAGAATTGATCAGGCGACGGCAATGGGCCAGGGTCCTGCGACACGTGCGAGAAGATCAGTGGCAGAAACTTCGTGAAGTCGTACCCAATGAGGGACTGAAACGCCTGTAGCATGTTTGGAGTCCACCAGACGGCGACCCCAGCACCAAATTCCATGCTGTCTTCCCAAGCCAAGTTGCCGACGTCACGAAGCAATTGACGAAGGTCGTCGTCCAACATCGTGTTCTCCCAGAAGTCGATGAGAAGCTGAGCTCCTGCGACAGAAAAATGGTCGTTGACCCAAGATCCATTTTGGATGTAGCTGCCTACTGGCGTCTGCGGGACCTGTACGATTCGTTCCGGACTGATTTGCTCGCGATACCCGGAGAACTTTTCATAGAAAGCGAAAAGGCGATGTTCAATCCCTGTCTCGTTGTGTGGAAACTCAATGTTTAGGCTGCCATCTTGAGCCACAGCGTCGGACACGTCTTTAAGCGACCGGGTCTCCAGGATATGTCTCGTGCCATTAGTATAAACGGTCCCGAGAAAATCAGGGTTCGTCGAGATATTGACAGGCTGCTGCTCAAGCACCAGTGCTGTGGAGGCAGCGACCAGCTTTCCAGAGCCCCAACCGGGCAACTTGCCACTGAAAGACCCACCAAGTGGAATCCAGACGTTGAATGGCACGAGATCGTACTGTAATCCCTCGGTCTCGGGCTCCGCAGGGACGCCAGATCCTTGATTCGGGCCAAGAGCAAAGTCCATCAATAGTCCGTGATCTTTTGCAGCCTGAAATGCAGTACGAGTAGTATTGATCCAGGCCTCTGTACCCCAGCCAAATTTGGACCAGTCTGCACGTGATGTAGCCGGGTCAGACTGCGTGCCTCCATAGTTGTAGAAGCCGATGGGTTCCAGACCACCGGCACCAACTTCTTTGAGTAGAGCGATGTCTTTTGCAATGACTTCCGGAGACGCTGTAGCATCTGGCACCCAGTATCTGAAGAAGGGTCGGAAGGCCAATGGTGGGTTCAGGAAAGAGTCATAAACAGACTCAGGCTGCACAGTACATCCCAGCGCAAGCGCGGGCAACATCGAGAGCGAGACCAGAATCTTCATCGTATCGGGAATTCGTTGAAGACTCAATTTCTCTGCGACACATTTTGCAACGCGTCTTCTGATATATCGATTTTCGGACCGTCCAGGCTGCAAGATTCCGACATGTCAGTAGTAACATCATTCAATGTAATATTTTTTATTCTTCAACCCACTTAAAGTCGTGAACGGACAGACGTATCAACGTATCAACGTATAGACGTATTCACGTATATACTAGCGGCTACATGTACCCACTATGGAGGCGCAGCATCTGCACAACGCGCCGCGAGAACCAATGAGGACCCGGCATTCCACTTTTACGCACCATACACTGTCGTCTACATTAGGCACCAATGTAGGGTCCGCCATGGGTGCAGAATGCTAAGACAGTGTGACAAGCCTTTAAAAAGCATGATATTGATAAATAGCTCTATCTGGCAATTGGATATAGCCAACACTGCTCCGTTCTGATCAAAGCTTGTCGCACAACTATCGGCTGCGGCTCCACATGCACATTGAGGAGCCTCTTGCTACAAGTTCCGCTTAATTTAGCGTCACAGGTTCTTATGTCATGCGCAAAATGAGACCTGTGTTGTTCTCGTTGCACTCAAAGACACTCTTGAACATTCCAGACTATTGTGTCTTACTCGGCTTCTCGAACCTGCTGTGGCATTCTTCATCGCAGGGTGCCTAGACGGAGGTGTGAAATGCTCGCATGCCGCAGAGCCCAAGCCTGGTGTGACGATTGATCTGGCAAATTTGAGCAACATGTGGGCAAGGAGAGTACGCATTCACGCAATGATGTAGTTTTTGAGAGGACTGTTTCTATGGCGTCGGTACGTGGCGTCAATAGACAGCCATTGCAACCTGTGCGAGGAGCTTGACACTTGTGTGTCGGCAAAATCGGGCTGCACGGGTGGTTATACTTGCAGTGCTGACAATAACTTTTCGTATTCGACAACCACAATAAGGCAGTCGCCAAGAGATTCATGTCAGCATGACTGTGCTTGCTCGTCTTCTGCTCAACGCACCCTTGCTTGCTTCGACCGCTCGATGCCGATTACTTTATCACTGGAGGCAGGAACTTCACACATTGCACTTGTGGATCCCGTGCTAGCTTCACGAATACTGTGTACAGAGAAGAACCGCAGGAAAAGAGGTGAGAAACTGGCACCGAGCTCGTCGGATTACTCCCACGTCTGAGATGCGGTAAACTCATACAAGGTTATGTGTTCATGAAAACGCCAAGAAGCAACAGTTCGTGTTCGCTCAGGATAGTCTTGTTCCACGTCTGTTTTCGACATCTGCAGTATGAAGAACTGCAGTTTGGTAGACCGGGGTGAACGAAAGATATTTTCGACGTCCTCCTGATCGACTCCGGCGTGCCACATGGATGCCCATATCAACGCGAGCAAATTGGCATTTACTTTGCACGACGTTCGATGCATGAGACGATTGTGATCTGTCATCAGGACCTTTACCGCCACTGTCAGATGAATCACAGAGGTGCAATCGCGACCCTCGTGCAATCATGCAAACAAAACGAGAGCACGACTCTCGAGCTGACTCTTGGTTCCATTGTTCAGGCTTACTGGTAAATATATCCTTTCCTTCGTGTCCATGCAGCGTCTCGTATTGCACGAGCACAGCAACTTGATCATGGCCATGTATCCCGGCTAACGTTTGCAAACGATGTCAGCAAGGAGGAAGAGATATAGACACCTCTAACTCGCTGGCTGAACGTCGCGACAGCCCGGCATCTGCCTATCGTCAACTGCATTCTCTCTGGATACAGTCATTTACCAAAGCGATCAGGACTACAAGGGG